TTAAATTTAAAATAAACGCAATAATTAGATTAAATAAATAATAACTATAATTATCATATGGGACCAATAGAATTTAAGACATATTATTAGTTTCAACTTATTAGCTTACGCACTATTTTTTGAAGCAATATCTAATCATAATTCAATTAATAATCATGTTCTATATATTAATATGAGACACAAAACATTATAATCATTTATAAATTGCAGTAAATTTTCTATTACAAAACTCATGAAATCGAATTAGGCAAGCACCGGCCCAAGTTTGATGTAAAATGAGTGGAAAGTGTAGAAAAGTACTTTTGTAAAGAGAATAATTAATCCCTTACAAATCATAGTCCTATGTGTCAACCTTAATATATAGCAACCCATAGGAAAGACATAGTTATTATATATTTACATAGATATAGATTTTGCAAACCAAACTTAATTAATATTTTATTCTTATTCATGCTTTAATTTATTTCCATAAAATAGTTATTATGTTCCTATCTTATTCAATTTTGCAAGCTAAAGGTTTCGATTTGGTCTATGGTTGAGCAGAAGAATGCTTGGACCATATGTGAACCAAATGTGTAATTTTCGTTTGGCACCTTCAGAAAATGAATTATGAATCCCTAGCCTAAGTTTCAAAAAAAATCTGCTCTTCTTCATTACCTTTTTTGCCAAAAATTTGCTCATCTTCTTTTCTTCACTAAAGTAAAAGAGTTTTAAAAGAAACCAAAAAGACAATAATCATGAAATCTAGGGTTTTCATAATTTTTAGAATATTTGGAAATCTGGATCAAATGTGAAAAGAGTGGAAAGATCCAAATATAAATCATAAGGAGTTTGTATATATTAAAAAAAAATCAAAGAGTCAAAAATGGAATCCGTTAAATATTACTTAAGGGAAATTTTTTATGTAATTAACCGCATTATTGTTACATTGAGGAAATAGTAAAAAATTTCCAAGGAAATACTTAGTAGGAAGAGGTACATGAAATGTTGAAATTCTAATAATTACTAATTTGCAGCATTTAAACTCGTTAAAACCATTTGTTCTCTAACAAAACTCATGGAATCGAAAAGCACATGTCCTAAACTGAAGTAAAACAATTACAATATGTATGAAAGCACCCTTTATAAGGAGAATAAATCAATCTCTTACAAATCACAGTCGTATATGTCAACCTTGGTAGCAACTCTTAGAAAAAGACAAGGCTATTATATATTTAAAAAGACAAAGATTCTGCAAACCACGCTAGGCAGATATCCAATTCCTATTCGCGCTCTATTTTGTTCTCATGAAATAATTGTTCAATTCCTATCTTATTCAATTTCGCGAGCTAAAGGTTTCGATTTCTATGGTTGTGCAAAAGAATGCTTGGACTAAATTTGAACTAAATGTGTGATTTTCTTTTGGCACCTTCAGAAAATGAATTCTCAATCCCAAGCCCATTTCAAAATATCTGCTAAAAAAGAAAAGAAAAGGAAGGATAGGTTCGGGTTTGACCCAGAAATCGAAGTTGACCAGTGAGCAGGCGACGGTTATAAGGCATAAACCCCCAAACTAAACCACAATTCCTGCAATCACCATTCAACCTTTCCCGCAGTGATCGCCTGAGGTCACACTCGTATGGCTTCGTCGGATATCGAAGTCACCGAGTCCTCCGCAGCGGCGAACACCCAAAACCCTCCCAACGAAGCGGCCCCCGTCGATGAGTTCTCCGCCTCTGCCTACGGCGATTTGGAGAAATTGAGCAAGTTCGTGGAGCAAGAAGGAGCCTCTCTCGACACCCGATACTAACGAATACTACGCTCTACAGTGGGCTGCTCTCAACAACTTCGCCGACATCCTTCAGTACATCATTGAGGTATTGCTTTTCGTCGCTCGCTTCTTGTTCCTTTGCTTGCGTGTGTTAGTTGCTGCTGGAAGCATTTGCTTCCTACTTGTTTCTGTCTTAACGTACTAATTGTTGTAGCTCTTGATGTATGTCGGTGTTGGATGACGAATTGTTTTTAAAATGGCCATTGACGAATGGGGGTAAAGTGAATGTGAGGGGAAAATTACCAAAACAGTCCTAAATTTATTGCAATTGTGCCAATTCAGTCATAAATATTTTTTTGTGCCAATTCAGTTCTAAACCTTTTTTTATTTATGTCAATTCAGTCCATCCGGCCAATTTTGGCTGGCCGGCGCTGACGTGGACGCTGGCCGACATTGATGTGGTAATTTTTTAATATTATTTTTTTATTTTTTCAATTTTTTTTTCTTTTCTTTTCTTTTCTTTTTCCTTCATCTTCATCTTCACCCTAATGTGAATGACAACGTGAAGCAGACTGCACTGCATTGGGCCGCTGTTCGTGGAGCTTGGGTAGAGGCAGCTGATATAAATGGGTATCGGGTACTTATTCATTCTCTCATTTTTCTTTTGAGGTATTGTTGTTCTTATAGCATTGGCATGAAGTAAAGAACGAATTTGATAATTATAGCATTGGTGTGCCAGGTTTCGTCTTGAGTTAAGAAAGGATTTTGAGCTTTTCATGGGTGACTTTTATGCTGTGCTGATGAACAGTAATGTGTGATGCCACTAGCTATAGTGGTCATTTCAATTTTTATGAAACTGCTTCTGCCAAAGATCATGGAATTGCATCTTCTGAAGTCTGTGATTTACTCTGTTTCACTATATGTTCTCCTTTGTGTTCATTGAGAAGGGTTGTTCCTTTTCTTACTTCGTCTAGTGTTAATTTTTTTCCCTTTAATTAATGACCATTCTTCGTTTGCTAGCCTCTCCACCGCAGGCAGTTCATGTTGACGGCCTTCTTAAATCGCATTGTCACAAGGTATCGTGCTGATTATGATGCACTAGATCAAGATGAAAGAAGTCCTCTTCTCTGGATCTTAAGGCGCAGGAACGTCATGAAACTGCTTTCTGGAAAATAAGCGGACAAAGTTGGACGCACATCACATGTGTATCCTCCAAGAATAAAGTGTGTTAAAGGATTTATATAGAATCGTATCTTCATCAACCAATCTCAATATCACCACTACGCTATATCTCATGTTCTATTTTTAGTTAGATCTCATAATTTACACGATACTTAGAACAAGATTATGTTAATGATTTGTAAACTAATGGTGGAGTTTAACGTTAAATTTAGAAGGTTATGGTCATTACAATTTAAACAACCATAATATTTTAATCATATTCGTAAACTAACCATGGAATTTAAAGATCCGAATAATATATAATGCAAAGCCAATCATATCCGAGGTTTTTTGCTACTAGGAAGCCGGTGCACCTCTACCTTGTTAGTCATACATGACCCTTACCTGGTTGGAGGAAAACATGGTTTAAATTGTTTTTCTTAATGTCGAATAGATCTGGGGTCTTTTAACTTATCTTTTCTAGTGAAAAAAATGCATCACATTAATCATTGGTTCCTTTTTTCGTCCAGTAGATTATCGCACTAAACCCGATCACTTACTTGAACCCGGCGAGTTTATCTAGGCTCGGGCAAAATTTTATACGGGCTTAAGAAATATGTTCATGAGTGAAGCGCCCGAGTAAGGATTTCTAAGGTCGATACCCAAATGGGAAAAAAATAATAATTCAAAGACGATGTTGTTGGTCGTGATTTAAAAAATCGGGATAGCGAAATGACGAAGGACCCCGGATTTCGTGAGTGATAAAAATATTTCATTTCTTTTTATAAGTAATATAAACTATCATTTTTTCAGAAAATATTTTTTGTAACTTTTTTTGAAGAATAGGTTTACCAGTTATCGAGTTTTTTGAAATGGTGAAAGACTCTTCCGTCCGAAACCGAGCGCCGAATGCTCACGATGGCAGTGCTGCAATTTCCGCCAACATGAAGGGCAAAAGGATTTGCATGTGAGGGATAGTCGGCTTCTGCATCAGCTTGGGAGAAAGGCGGCGGCCGGGGTCTTAGTTTTTTGTGGATTAAGCAAAATGGGGGTGTTTCTAATGGAGCCACGGAGGAGGCGAAAGACAAGGCCGGCATGGAGCCGCGACGGAGATGGAAGAGATGAGTGGCGACTGCGATGTTACTTAAAATGAATAGTTTCAATCGGAATGGCTGAAAGTATCGATCAGATCTAGTATTGGTTCGGCTCAATCGGTCGGACAAATGAACTAATGACTGGAGTATATCGCTCACTGCATCTTTGACTTAGGTCTTTAAAAGGGGATAAAAAAAAAACAAGGGAGGGGATGATTCGGGATTCGCCCCTTTAGCCTCAAGGATCCAATGAATTCATTTAAAACATATAATCCGGTTCTAGGAAGAAAAAAAAAAGTCAAAAAAAAAAAATAGAACACACGATCCATTTAAACTGTTATTAATAGATTTTTACTTAACACTTCAATGTTTTAAATGATCAATCGAGAAAGTGGCAATCGTGTAAAATCTATTTTTTTACGGTACCGAATTAAAATATATCAGTGCAATCGCACTTGAAGAGCATAAAATCCACGCGTGCGGGGTTTCAGGTTTTTGTAACATCAAAATATGGCGGTTAACGAAATAGTAATATTCACACCATACAATATGCAAATCGAAAAAAAGTCAATTTAAGAAAAATCATCTTCCTGATCATCTTCAGCATCAAGCGGCAATGCCCCAGAAATTTCACCAACAGTGGCCTCGCCCCCACAAAGTTGCCAAAGAGCTTCTTCCGCTTTTCCTTTTCTCGATTCCGTACGAGCCATTTCGCCGTTCAGTTCATCGTCGTCGCCACCTGCCATTCAAAACCCAAACAACCCGACCCGACCCGACCCGATTCGGTTTGACGGAGCTCCACATCATCATCGCCTTCTTCGCTTGGTTTCGCTTCCAGCGTCGTCTCCAAAAGCGAGATTGGGTGGAAATTCTGGCATCGGGAGACGAATCTCCATCCCCGCCCCCGTTCGCAGATTCTCCCTCGTGCGAGCAGCGATCGAACTTCACTATCCCCAATCTCTTAAATCAAACTCATAATCTATATAAACTCAGAGACCATGTCGACGACTTCCCCTCCTCCTCCTCCGCCGCCGCCGCCGCCGCCGCCTCTTCCTCGTCCTCCTCCCCGCCGTCCTCCTCGATGGAGGTACGATGTGTTCGTGAGCTTCCGAGGCAAGGATGTGAGGAGAAACTTCGTAGCGCACCTCTTCTCCGATCTCCGGCGGGCCTCCATCCAATTCTTCAGGTGACGTGGCAAATCGTTTTTTCCCTTTTTTTTCCCCATCCAATGGGATTAAATGAAAAGAAAAACAATAATAATAATTAATAATTAATAATAGAAATCTATTCGGACCACCTAATTTCTCTCTCTTCCCCCCCCCCCCCTCCCGGGTCAGTCCACGCCGCCGCCTCTGAGCTTTGACCTCCGCGCCTCCCCCGCTGTCGCCGGCGCGTCGTCCGGATCGTGGAGCGGCCGAGGACGGAGCAAGGCTCCGTGGACGAACCGCCGCGCTGGGTCATGTGCCCCGGCAAAGTCACCGTTCGGATCCGGTCGGCTCCGCCGCCTTCCCCCCGTCGCCGTGGTTCCAGATCTGGTCGGGCAGAGCAGATATGTGCGGCAACGGAGGCGGAGGGGGGTAACTTGAGCGGTGGCGACGGCCGTGCCAGGGGCCGGTATGGGGGTGGCTGTCATGGCGGAGGAAGAGAGAGAAATGAAGGTACTTAACTTTTTAATGTGCGTGTCAATGCTTTCAGTGACAACGCGAGAGAAGACATTGGTGAAGAAATCAAATCCAAGCTTTTCGAAGCGATATGGCACGCGAGGATCGCCCTGATCGTGTTCTCCAGGAACTACGCCGACTCGAAGTGGTGCATGAACGAGCTGGTCGAGATCCTGGAGTGCAAGAAGAGGTTCGGGAACCATGGCCACCTTGTTGTTCCCATCTTCCACGAGGTAAAAGCCGGAGACATTTCGGACTTCGAGGGCGGAAGTGCATTCGCTCAAGGTTTCGCGAGATTGTGTGGAAAGGCGACAGATGAAGAGCAGATACAGAAATGGAGGGACGCCCTGAGAGAGACTAAGCAATTGACAGGATTCGGCTTGCGGAACGACGCCGGAGGGTACAGCATCTCTCCTTCTTCTTCTCCTTATTCTCCACCATGTTCATTGCGTTATCATTTTGTGGCTCCGATCATCTTGATTCTAGTTTAAATGTGTGTTTGATGTTGAATGTGGAAATTCAAACTCTTTCGAGTTCTTGCCATTTTTTGGGTACCTGATGGGCTCATACGAACCATTTCCGGGGAAGTCGATTTCCCCCCAATCTAAGCTAGTTCTCGAAAACAGTTTCCTTCAAACAAAGGGCCATAAGTTTCTTTTTCCTCCTCCTCTGCTATTATTTGCTACTTGCTAGGATTTTCACTCATTGGGGGACTTAATATGTTGATGTTTGCTAATCCTAACGTTGTGTAAACCGATATGCCGAATTTGTCCCCTTAATTAACATCAAAATCAAAAAAGATCTTTCTTTAGCAGTTATTGCAAGAGAAATTGGCCGAATATTTCTATTCATGAATAATTCGTTGGGGATCATGACAGAATATGCTACTTCATCGTATATTGCATAAACTGAAAAAATGAGATAAGGCGACGGTACAACCTCGTACCGTCTCGGTCTGTCACCTTTATGCTTGCCTTATGCCCATTGTTACTGTGCGTACTTGGGACAATCCCTGTCCCCAGAGCCAGTCGCCGCAAGACTCTTGTGGAAGCCTATAGGGAAGGTGTTAATATGGTTTTAGGAAGTGACCAGCTCTCCTCATTACCTCTGCATATTGCTTGTTCTTCTTTGTTTTCTGCAATTTTTGCAAAATTTATGTTCCATTTGTCATCTATATGAACCTCATTTATCAAACTACAGACGTATGATAAAGTCATAATCATTTGACAACCAAATGTCAAAACTTATCTACAATATATTACAATTATAGGATATTTTACCCACCTAATAGTAATGGCATTCTCATGCTTTGGGTTTAGAATCCCATGGTTGTGGGTTCGATTTTTGGCCTGGGGACACTCAAGATTTTTTTTTTTTTTGGGGCGGGGCGGGGGGGGGGGGGAGTGAGCATTGTTGTGAGTTGCTATGCTAATTCCCTTCTAAGTGACCAATTTACGGTTGTGTCATTGAATCATAAAAACATTTAGAGTATCTTGGAATTTTCATGTTTCGCTAATGATTAATCTGTCATGGTGGCACATCAATAAATCAAAACAATTTCAGCAATGACTAAGAAGTAAGAACTGACCTCTGTTAGCCTCCCTGTTTTGATTTTTTCCATTGCTGTGTCCTGCTGCTGTACTACTGCACTTGTACAATGAATACAAGTCTACTCTTGCTCAATGGATCTCTGAAACAATGTATAAAAAAGAGGGGGGGGGGGGGCGCGGGAGACAGTGACCTGGAACAGCATAAGTGCCTCCCCAGAACTTGTAAACAAGTTATGATCGACAACTTATACCATTGGACGTCCACCAGAGGACTCGCAATTTTGTTCTGATGTAAAATAATTGGCTATAGGCGCATGCTACATCAGCAGGAAACTCAATAACAAGCACTGATTTACAAGTTGGATGTTTTTTCATTCATATGAATGTGTAAAATCTTGAATATTTTGTCTCTTGGTGCATATTTACATTTATTTCTCTTATAACCTTAACTGCACAACATAGGGATGAAGGGAGACTTGCGGACATAATAGTAGAGTACCTTGTGGAGAAAATCCGCGAAACACGGCCACTCTACTTTGTGAAAAACGCAATAGGAGTGGATGTCTTGGTAGATGAGGTGATTTCTTTACTTGGAAAGGGCCAAGAGGAGGACGTGCGTGTGATAGGCATCTGTGGAGTAGAAGGAATAGGGAAGACGGTGGCGTCCAGAGTCATTTGCGATAGCATTCGCAGCGATTTTGAGTGTTTTGTTTTTCTTGATAAAATTGGAGAAGCAGATCGCAACAATCTTGTAGGTCTATTAGGTCTACAAAAGAAGCTGCTCCATAATCTCATAAAGGTGGAAGGATGGAGGATGTATGACGACATTCAGACCAACATTGATGAGATAAATAGTAACATGTGCCGTAAAAGGATACTTCTTGTTCTTGATAATGTTACTAGGAAAGAACTGATTGACTACTTCGGGGCCGGAGAGCGAGAACTGCTGTGTCCCGGGAGCAGAATTTTGATCACGACCAGAGACCAAAACTTGCTAAAAGATCTCAAGGTAGACGACAAGTACATCGTCAAAGGTTTGCTTCCAAATGAAGCGCTTCGGCTCTTTCGCCGCCATGCCTTGAAGAGAGAAGAACCTCAAGAAGGCTATGAGGAGTTGTCCCGAAGTCTAGCTCATTATGCAGGAGGTCATCCATTGTCTCTTAAAAGGCTGGGTTCATCCCTAAACGGCAAGTCAAAACATCAATGGCATCGGACATTGGAGAAGTTGGTTAAAAGCCCTTATCTCGATTCGCTCTTTCGTTCGTTCTTGTCAGTTGGGCCACATGGAGGTCAAGGCGGTGATGCTTTTGATGATGGGGCACACACTGGGGTGAGGCAAATTAGGCTCTACGGACAGTCAGTTATTGATGCCATCACCATCGACTATGATCAGGACGGGTGTTTGGAGAGATCCTCCCAGCACGGTGGACGTGTCCATGACAATGAAACGGTCAGTTTTGTGCCACTCTAGTAGACTGATTATGTACTTTACTGCTCATCGCTTATAAGAAGGTAAAGAGAGTCAACTACAAGTTCAATATCATTTTTGTGCGTCCATTATAGAATCTACCGCGAAAAGTTGATAGATAGAAGAATGTAGTAAGGTAGTCAGGAGTGATGGTCAACATGTAAACATCTACGGAAGTGTTAGTGTGTTACTGCTTCACGTAACTTTGCCAAGTATGAAGGTTCAAATTCTATCATTCCTTTTTTCTTCTTTTACGTATTTACTTCGTCTCTTTTGATTTGTTTATGGGACTTTATTATCTTGCCTTTCATTTACCGCAAAATCGGCATGCGGCAGCTTTGCTCACGGACCTACTTATAGCAAAAAACTCTAAACTCAAAACATTTCTTCGTTCCTTTTTCTATTAGGGATAAGTACTTAAACCAAATTCGGTCAAGTAATTTATCTTTCATGGTAAAGGAATTATATTGATCCAAAATAACACAAAAGCAATACATATTAGCTGTTAGATGGATGTGATGATGGTAACACTTACAAAAACTTTTGCACTTCTTGCAGCTGGTGAGATTGGATCATCCAAGTGAATACCTAATTTCTATATCAGGCCATATTGATGATTATGGTGGTCATGATGTTGTCCGGTCTCTCAAGATCCGCAGCAACAAGAAGACGTATGGACCATTTGGATCTGAACAAGGACAGCCTTTTGATCTCTCACATTCAGATGGAAAGATTATCGGGTTTCATGGGAAATGTGGCAGCCATCTCCACTCAATCGGAGCACATTTCGGGCCGATTTCTCACACGTATCCATTTGATGTCGTGGGACCATTTGGTGGTGATAGTGGTATGGACATTTGGGACGACAAAAAATATGCGGACGTGAGGCAAATTGTCATAGGCTTCGATTCAGCAATTAAGTCCATCTCTATCTTATACGATGAACACGGACGTCCAGTTGGTCCGTTCACACATGGCCCAAGTGGAGGAGGCCAAACATATACGGTGAGCTATGATATAAACATTATCAACATCGTCGTCTGGATGCAATGTGATTTTGTTGATGCCCTCGATGCTGTATTTTTTCTGGTGAAGTCTAATCTTCATTGTTATAGTAGATAGTTTTTCTTGAGTTCTTTAATTGTTATCCTTTTTCTTTCTCAGATCAAGCTTGACCATCCAAGTGAGTACTTGACTTCCATCTCGGGCTACACTGAAGAAGTTTCCGAATGCACCATTTTTCAGTCATTGACAATCCATACTAATAGAAATGATCATGGACCGATCGGAACAGCTACTAATGGGAGGCATTTTTCATTTCCATACACCGGCGGTAAAATTGTCGGGTTTCACGGGAGTTGCCATGGCTCTCATCTTGAGTCCATTGGAGCTTTTTATGAGCCGATTCCTCATATTCATCCTTTTAAGGTTTTTGGACCTTTTGGAGACGACGGTGCAGATCGTTGGGATGATGGAAGATACGTTGATATAGAGAGGATTGTTCTTCGCTGCTCAGACTTCATTTATTCCATTGATTTTGATTATGTCAACACGGATGGTTCTATTCGATCCACTAAGCATGGTCAAAATCTTAGGGGACATATATATGAGGTTGGTAAACTAATTTCCTTTATTACTTTTTCAATGTAAGGATCAGAATTGTGGAGGTTTCGATTGGAAATCGATTGAAATCAGTCCCTAGGATTTCCATAAGGTGGTTGCTTGTAGTTTTTGAAGATAAGGCCGCCTGAGAAGAAACTTTTAGGAATACAGGTTCCTTTATTTTGCGAAAAATAAATAATTTGAAAAATATATTTTCAAAAATGATCACTTGTATCGCTTACAAAAATAAAAAAAAAACGAAAAAATTTTCATCGTCCATAACATAAATTGTTATCGATAATGATTAATTATGATAAGCGATACAAACGATCATTTTTAGAAAAATATTTTTCAAATCATTTATTTTTCGCGAAATAAATGAAACCTCAATATTATTTTCTTTGTTTTTTTGAAATAGAGGACGTGAAGTCTCGTGGAGGAAAAGAGAAGTTGATGATTTATATAACCTTTTAATTGATTATATTGGTTTGCATCATGTTTCCCAATGTTATGCAATGATTCATATCCATTGAACCCCTATATGATCTTGTTTAATGACTTGTAATTTGCAGGTTAATTTGCGTTACCCGCATGAGTTTATAACCTCAATTTCAGGTTTCTTCGCCGGCGTTATCAACTCGCTCACATTTCGAACCAACAAAAGAATATGGGGACCCTTTGGTAGAGAGGAAGGGGAGTACTTCTCTTTACCATCAGAAGCTGGGAAAATTATCGGCTTTTTCGGGACGGGTGGTGATTCTCTCGAATCTATTGGAGCACACGTCGAGTTATACTCTAACAAGCTCTATCCCTTTAAGTCTGTGGGGTCATTAGAGAGGTCAAATCCGTCATTTTGGGATGATGGCGATAAGCATACCAATGTAAGGACAATCATTGTTGAATTTGAAATAAGCAAAGGGCCATTGATCCGATCAATCACATTTCAGTATGAAGAGGAGAACAAAGAATTGTGTCAATCGGAGACTCATGGTGGCATTGATCAAAACAAGTTTCATATAGTAAGGAACGTCGAGATCCATACGGTATGTCCCTCTGTACATACAAATGCTTTGGAAAATCTTTACGAACTTGCATTGCCAAGATTGGGAGGACTCTTTCGAGACTTAAATCATGAGTTTAATGGTCACATCTATTATTGCAGATCAAAATACATGATCCAAATGAGTATATGACTTCAATATCCGGGTATACGTTTCAACCTAACAAAGAAACCTACGGACTTACATCTCTCACTTTTCAAACTAACAAAAGGACAATCGGGCCTATTGGTGTTGAAATGGGAAGGCACTTCTCATCTCCTGCAACGGGTGGCAAAATTGTTGGATTTTACGGGAAGAGTGGTACACATCTTGAAGAAATTGGAGCACATTTTGAACCGATTCCAGATCTCTACCCAATTAGATCAATTGGGCCATTTGGAGGCCAAGGTGGACGTGATTGGGACGACAAGAAATTCAACGGTGTGGTAGAGGTTCGGGTAACGCACAGCGATGTCATCCATTACATCATGTTTGTGTATGACAAGAGTGGTGAACAAGTTCGCTCAGGTATGCATGGTGGCCACATCGGAGAAGACAAGGCCAAGTTCACCATGGTTAGTGATTTTCTACCTCTCCGATTCGTCACTGTTTACTTACTCATATCTCATTGGCAAAGACAATGTTGATATGTGTCTGGTCCGGTGATATCTTGAATTAAACTCGACAAATAGATCTTGTTTATTCCACTCGTCCAATTCTAAGAGATACTTTTTAAATTGCACAGTTTAAATTGGACTATCCACGGGAGTACTTGACATCGATCTCTGGTTACAAGCAAGAGGATGGTGATGACAACTACGATAATGCTGTTGTTCAATCGCTCGCATTTCACAGTAATAGAGGAACATACGGTCCCTTTGGCAAGGAGACAGGGAAGTACTTTTGGTATCCATCGACCGGGACCAGAATCATTGGCTTTTATGGAAGACACGGTGAGACTCTCAATTCCATAGGAGTGTATGCGGAGCCCATACCGCACCTGTATCCTTTCAAAACGGTTGGACCCTTTGGAGGCTCTGAAGGGACTCTATGGGATGATGGAGTGCATACCGATGTGAGGGAATTTTACATAACTGAATACATAGGAATTCACTCCATCAGAATTGCGTACGATAACAATGGTTCCTTCGTGTTAGGCTCTGAGCACGGCAAAAATGGCCACCCTCGATGCAGCAGGGTTAGTCTCTCTCTCTCTCTCTCTCTCTCTCTCTCTCTCTCTCTCTCATGCATACATGTTGCTTTTCATAATGTTCATAGCTTTATGTAGCACAGTATTTTGCATCGAAGACCGAGGCACTTCTTATTGGCATCGGTATCTCGAGCTTTCATACGTTTTCACAAGCAAAACGTGTTTCGCTTTGCTACTCTTGCAGGCCATTCTAGATTATCCTAAGGAGCGTCTAGTTTCGATATCGGGATTCATGAGCAGAAATGGAATCAGTCCTCGCACTGTCATCCACAACCTGAAAATACTTACCACGAAGACCACTTATGGGCCGTTCGGACTTTACTATGGAGCAGGGTCAAAGGGAGATAATGAAATGGTAACGGAATTTCGCATCCCATCGGAACCAGGCGGTGGCAGGATCGTTGGCTTTTTCGGAAGGACAGGATCACATCTTAATTCTATTGGAGCGCGTCTGGAACCATATTAATCAAACCTCCTCCCTCCCCCCAAGCCTTTTTTCTTTTCTTTCTTTGCCTTGTGATCGTAAGAATCTTCTTCTTCGTTTCGTTTTTTGAGGTGATGTTGACATTACTCTCTTTTTCTCAAACGATGGTCATGGCAAGCGTAGCATTATCTGATAATTAGCTGCGAGGATGCCCCGAGGCGCGACTGAGGTTATATTAGATGGGAAAGTTAGTCTTAAAAGAGAGGAAAATGAAGATAATAATTGCATGAATAGTCATTTTAAGGCTATTTTTGAATTAGAAACAGAGATACATACGAATACATGAATAGAGTACTTCTCGACCATAACATAAAACCTCGGATTCTTTTATAGACCCAAGGGTTAAGCCGGCACTCCATCTTCACGCTGTCTCATGAATTGGGAGCGAAATTGTCAAACAATCGATTTTAAATATGTATATAGCACGTGTAATATGTGTTGTACACAATTCACATCCAATATAATTCATTTGGATATAGTTTGTCAATTTTTCAAAACTAATAACAACTTTTTGTCTAAATATATGTCTTCTTGATAGTTAATTTTGTCGATTTGTTTACCCAAGAGTGACGTGCAAAAGAAGATGGAATGGACTAGGACAATCATGTGAGATGGGAACTCCTTGATTCCTGCACTAAAATTGAGTAAGGATTTATGTTTGTTATATTTTATATTTAGCTACCGCTAATATAATTTTAAGTTAAATAAAAATAAAATTTGTAGAAAATGTAATTAATATTATGGTCTTAGTAGCTTCTTGTCGGAAATTATATTTACTATTTGTTTTTATGCATAGCTATAAGACTAATTTATAGATAGTTTAAGTAAACACAAGTTAATAATGTGAACTTATCACTGAATTATGATTATTGTGTCATTATTACATTATTATTGTTATCACTGGTTATCCATTGAGGAAAAAAAATAAGTTTACTATTTATTATCAACTATTTTAATTTAAAATAAACGCAATAATTAGATTAAATAAATAATAACTATAATTATCATATGGGACCAATAGAATTTAAGACATATTATTAGTTTCAACTTATTAGCTTACGCACTATTTTTTGAAGCAATATCTAATCATAATTCAATTAATAATTATGTTCTATATATTATTATGAGACACAAAACATTATAATCATTTATAAATTGTAGTAAATTTTCTATTACAAAACTCATGAAATCGAATTAGGCAAGCACCGGCCCAAGTTTGATGTAAAATGAGTGGAAAGTGTAGAAAAGTACTTTTGTCAAGAGAATAATTAATCCCTTACAAATCATAGTCCTATGTGTCAACCTTCATATATATAGCAACCCATAGGAAAGACATAGTTATTATATATTTACATAGATATAGATTTTGCAAACCAAACTTAATTAATATTTTATTCTTATTCATGCTTTAATTTATTTCCATAAAATAGTTATTATGTTCCTATCTTATTCGATTTTGCAAGCTAAAGGTTTCGATTTGGTCTATGGTTGAGCAGAAGAATGCTTGGACCATATGTGAACCAAATGTGTAATTTTCGTTTGGCACCTTCAGAAAATGAATCATGAATCCCTAGCCTAAGTTTCAAAAAAAATCTGCTCTTCTTCTTCACCTTTTTTGCCAAAAATTTGCTCATCTTCTTTTCTTCACTAAAGTAAAAGAGTTTTAAAAGAAGCCAAAAAGAGAATAATCCATGAAATCTAGGGTTTGCATAATTTTTAGAATATTTGGAAATCTGGATCAAATGTGAAAAGAGTGGAAAGATCCAAATATAAATCATAAGGAGTTTGTATATATTAAAAAAATCAGAGAGTAAAAAATGGAATCCGTTAAATATTACATAAGGGAAATCTTTTATGTAATTAACCGCATTATTGTTACATTGAGGAAATAGTAAAAAATTTCCAAGGAAATACTTAGTAGGAAGAGGCACATGAAATGTTGAAATTTCTAATAATTACTAATTTGCAGCATTAAAACTCGTTAAAACCATTTGTTCTCTAACAAAACTCATGGAATCGAAAAGCACATGTCCTAAACTGAAGTAAAACAATTGCAATATGTATGAAAGCACCCTTTATAAGGAGAATAAATCAATCTCTTACAAATCACAGTCGTATATGTCAACCTTAGTAGCAACTCTTAGAAAAAGACAAGGCTATTATATATTTAAATAGACAAAGATTCTGCAAACCACGCTAGGCAATTCCTATTCGTGCTCTATTTTGTTCTCATGAAATAATTGTTCAATTCCTATCTTATTCAATTTCGCGAGCTAAAGGTTTCAATTTCTATGGCTGTGCAAAAGAATGCTTGGACTAAATTCGAACCAAATGTTTGGCACCTTCAGAAAATGAATTCTCAATCCCAAGCCCATTTCAAAAAATCTGCTCATCTTCTTTTTTTTCTTTTTCTTCCAAAAACCTGCTCATTTTCTTTTCTTCACTAGAATTAAAAAAAGGATCTATAAGGAAAAAAGAAAAAAAAAAGGAAGGATAGGTTCGGGTTCGACCCAGAAATCGAAGCTGACCAGTGAGCAGGCGATGGTTATAAGGCATAAACCCCCCAAACTAAACCACAATTCCTGCAATCACCATTCAACCTTTCCCGCAGTGATCGTATGAGGTGACACTCGTATGGCTTCATCGGATATCGAAGTCACCGGGTCCTCCGCAGCGGCGAACACCCAAAACCCTCCCGACGAAGCGGCCCCTGTCGATGTGTTCTCCCCCTCTGCCTACGGCGATTTGGAGAGATTGAGCAAGTTCGTGGAGCAAGAAGGAGCCTCTCTCGACTCCCGATACTAACGAATACTAACGAATACTACGCTCTACCGTGGGCTGCTCTCAACAACTTCGCCGACATCCTTCAGTACATCATTGAGGTATTGCTTTTTGTCGCTCGCTTCTTGTTCCTTTGCTTGCGTGTGTTAGTTGCTGCTGGAAGCATTTGCTTCCTGCTCGTTTCTGTCTTAATTGTAGCTCTTGATGTATGTTGGCGTTGGATGACGAATTGTTTTTAAAATGGCCATTGAAGAATGGGGGTAAAGTGAATGTGAAGGGAAAATTACCAAAACAATTCTAAGCTTATTGCAATTGTGCCAATTCAATCATAAACCTTTTTTTTGTGTCAATTCAGTCCTAAATCTTTTGCATTTGTGTCAATTCAATCAATTCGGCCAATTTTGGCTGACCGGCGCTGACGTGGACGCTGACGTGGCAATTTTTTAATATTATTTTTTCTTTTCTTTTCTTTTTCCTTTCCTTTTTTTTTTCTTCATCTTTATCTTCAATCTCTGGCCTCTGACCAGCGAGGTCGGCCCCGCCGACCGCTGGTGAGGCTCAACCTCACTAGCATTGGGCAAGGCCAACCTTGCCCAGCCTTGGCGAGGCTCGGTCCTGCCAGCAACTGGCGAGGTCGGCGATCTGGCGAGGCTCAAACTCGCCGGTAACTAGCGAGGTCGGCCTCACCCAACAACAGCAAGGTCGAGCCTCACCAGCGGCCGACGGGGTTGATCTCGCTGGCTTCCGCCTCTGGCCGATTGCCAGTCCAACGACCGGCCAGAGGTTGAAGATGAAGATGAAGATGAAGATGAAGGAAAAATAAAAGAAAATAATTCGAAAAAATAAAAAAAAATGATATTAAAAAACTACCACGTCAGCTTTGCCGGCCGGCGGGCATCCACGTCAGCGCTGGCCAGCCAAAATTGGTTGGATTGACTGAATTGGCACAAATGCAAAAGATTTAGGACTGAATTGGCATAAAAAAATGTTTAGGACTGAATTGGCATAATTGCAATGGGTTTAGAACTCTTTTGGTAACTTTCCCTGAATGTGAATGACAACGTGTAGCAGACTGCACAGCATTGGGCTGCTGTTAGTGGAGCTTGGGTAGAGGCAGCTGATATAAACGGGTATCGGGTACTTATTCATTCTCTCATTTTTCTTTTGAGGTATTGTTGTTCTTATAGCATCGGCAAGAAGTAAAGAACGAATTTGATAATTATAGCATTGGTGTGATAGGTATCGTCTTGAGTTAAGAAAGGATTTCGAGCTTTTCATGGGTGACTTTTATGCTGTGCTGAAGAACAGTAATGTGTGATGCCACTAGCTATAGTGGTCATTTCAATTTTTATGAAACTGCTTCTGCCAAAGATCATGGAATTGCATCTTCTGAAGTCTGTGATTTACTCTCTTTCACTATATGTTCTCCTTTGTGTTCATTGAGAAGGGTTGTTCCTTTTCTTACTTCGTCTAGTGTTAATTTTTTTTTCTTTAATGACCATTCTTCATTTGCTAGCCTCTCCACTGCAGGCAGTTCATGGTGACGGCCTTCTTAAATCGCATTGTCGCAAGGTATCGTGCTGATTATGATGCACCTCATCACGATGGAAGAAGTCCTCCTCATTGGTATGTTAAAATTGCTCTGGATCTTAAGGCGCAGGAACGTCATGAAACTGCCTTCTGGAAAATAAGCGGACAAAGTTGGACGCACATCACATGTGTATCCTCCAAGAATAAAGTGTGTTAAAGGATTTATATAGAATCGTATCTTCATCAACCAATCTCAATATCACCACTACGCTATATCTCATGTTCTATTTTTAGTTAGATCTCATAATTTACACAATACTTAGAACAAGATTATATTAATGATTTGTAAACTAATGGTGGAGTTTAACGTTAAATTTAGAAGGTTATGGTCATTACAATTTAAACAACCATAATATTTTAATCATATTCGTAAACTAACCATGGAATTTAAAGATCCGAATAATATATAATGCAAAGCCAATTATATCCGAGGTTTTTTGCTACTAGGAAGCCGGTGCACCTCTACCTTGTTAGTCATACATGACCCTCCAACTTAATGTCGAATAGATCTGGGGTCTTTTAACTTATCTTTTCTAGTGAAAAAAATGCATCACATTAATCATTGGTTCCCTTTTTCGTCCAGTAGATTATCGCACTAAACCCGATCACCTACTTGACAACCCGGCGAGTTTATCTAGGCTTGGGCACAATTTGGACAGGCTTAAGAAATATGCTCATGAGTGAAGCGCCCGAGTAAGGATTTCTAAGGTCGATACCCAAATGGAAAAAAATAATAATTCAAAGACGATGTTGTGGCTCGTGTTTAAAAAATCGGGATAGCGAAATGACGAAGGACCCCGGATTTCGTGAGTGATAAAAATATTTTTCATTCATTTTTATAAGTAATATAAATTATCATTTTTTCAGAAAATATTTTTTTAACTTTTTTTGAAGAATAGGTTTACCGGTTATCGAGTTTTTTGAAATGGTGAAAGTCTCTTCCGTCCGAAACCGAGCGCCGAATGCTCACAATGGCAGTGTTGCAATTTCCGCCAACATGAAGGGCAAAAGGATTTGCATGTGAGGGATAGTCGGCCTTGCCTTTTTTCGTCGAAACACAGTGTCAGAGGCTACAATCATTTCTCCTTTCTTGACTTCTGCTGCTCGTTGGAGTTGGCGAATACTTCGGGATCCTTGTTTCTCATATCGGGTACGTTCACATGAGTTTAGGAAAATCGAAATATGATCCGACGATATACATGAGTTTAGGAAAATCCAAGTATGATCCAACGATATGTGACCCCTGCGCACGGAATGCGGGGTTCGGGGGCAGAGCCCCCGACACGGGGGTCCCGCTGACCGGACAGCGGGCAGGGGTTCCGCTCCCCGGTGAGCAGACGGCGGCCCCACTTGCCGGTGAGCGGGCAGGAGCTCGGGGGCAGCGCCTCCGAAATAACATCGGGTTTGCTGGTCCGTTTGTTGTGGGATTGAAGGGATTCGGATAGGCTTGGGCTTTGGGTCCATTTTAAGTCCTGTATATATTGTACTCGTATGAGAGATCATTGTAACAAGTGGCTGTGGTTATAAACCTAAATCATAGTGGAATCCATTTGCAGGACGTAGCCCTATTCGGGGGTGAACCTGGATAAACTCGTGCATCATTTAATTTTCTTCTATTCTCTGCGTGATCGTTCTGATTCAGTTTGCGATACACCCCATCACTGCTGACGGAGAAAGGAAGTGAAAAAAACCATTCGTTTCCGAGCGTAGTTCTTCTGCATCAGTTTGGGAGAAAGGCGGCGGGCGGGGCCTTAGTTTTTTGTGGATTAAGCAAAATGGGGGTGTTTCTAATGGAGCCACGGAGGAGGCGAAAGACAAGGCCGGCATGTAGCCGCGACGGAGATGGAAGAGATGAGTGGGCGACTGCGATGTTACTTAAAATGAACAGTTTCAATCGGAATGGCTAAAAGCGTCGATCAGATCTAGTATTGATTCGGCTCAATCGGTCGGACAAATGAACTATTGATCGGAGTAAATCTCTCACCGCATCTTTGACTTAGGTCTTTAAAAGGGGTTAAAAAAAAACAAGGGAAGGGATGATTCGGGATTCGCCCCTTTAGCCTCAAGGATCCAATAAATTCATTTAGAACATATAATCCGGTTCTAGGGAGAAAAAAAAGAGTAAAAAAAAATAGAACACACGATCCATCTAAAATGTTATTAATATATTTTTACTTAACACTTCAATGTTTTAAATGATCAATCGAGAAAGTAGCAATCATGTTAAATCTATTTTTTTACGGTACCAAATTAAAATATATCAGTGCAATCGCAATTGAAAAACATGAGATCTGCGCGTGCAAGTGTTTTAGGTTTTTTTTAGGGATGTCAAAACCAAACACGATACCCTAATCGAAACACGAACCGACCCGACCTGAATACGAAATTTTCTTATTGGGTCGGGTTAGATCTCAACTTGTTTGGGTAACAATAAAAAGAATTGTGTATTGTTTGGATCTATTGGGCTTGGGTACCCAAGCCCAACCCAAACAATAACCAAAACCCTATACCACTTCAAATGCACTTCGTCCACCTCGACCGCCTCCTCCTCGCCCCCCGACTCCCCCGTCCCCCACGCCTCCGGCCTCCGCCCCCTCCCCGGCCGCCACCCCTTCCTCGGCTCCCCCGAGCCCCTTGTCGCCCGCCTCTCCCCCTCCCGCCGCGACTTCATCATCCAGCTCGCCTCCTCCGATTCCGGCCTCTCCGTAGACCCCATCGCCACCCTACCGCGAGAACGCACGCCATCTCCACCGCACTCAGAAGAGAATCGCAAAAACTCAAAAGGGCTACCGAGTCAAAAGCCGGAGGAAGCGAGCAACCGGCGAGGACCAGATCCAACACTCGAAACCTACAGGCGACGCGAGCGAGCGGCGGACACCGCCGTCGCCGGCGGACGCGCGGCCCCCTACGCATGCGGACACATACAGAAGCATACGTACAGATCATGGAGAGCGAGAGAAACCACGCGCGAGATAGAGAGAGAGAGAGACGGGGAGAGGGGAGGGAGGGGGGAGGAAGGGAAGCGAACCATCGCCGTCCTTGTCGAACAAGCTGAAGGCCTCCTTGAACTCGGAGATCTGGTCGTCGGTGAGCTGATCCGCCATCTCAAAACCTTCCTCCCTCCCTCCTCGTCCTCCTTCCGAAATGCGAACAGCGAACGGAGATCGCGAAACAGAGGAGAGAGAAAGAGAGCGCTAGAGAGAGAGAGAGGGGGTGGGAAGAGCTTTCGTGAATCTTACGAAGAAGACGAGGCTGAAGCCGACGCCTGCGGCGGCGGTGGTGCGGGCTCGTCGACGACGCGGAGTCCTCCTGCTGCGGCAGCAACGATGCTGGGACGACGGGCGCAGAAGGCGGCGATGCCGCGGCGGCGGTTGAATTGCTGAGGCTTCATTGTTTGAAACACAAAACCCGCCCCGACCCGCCCCGACATGACCCGGCTCGATCGTGTAGCTTTATCTTGTTCGGGTCTTGTCTCGGGTCGGGTCGAACACATATGCCCAATATTTGGGTCGGGTCGGGTATCATGAAAACCCGACCCGACCCGACCCATTGACACCCCTAGTTTTTGTAACATCAAAATATGGCGGTTAACGAAATACTAATATTCACACCATACAATATGCAAATCGAAAAAAATCAATTTAAGAAAAATCATCTTCCTGATCATCTTCAGCATCAAGCGGAAATGCCCCGGAAATTTCACCAACAGTAGCCTCGCCCCCACAAAGTTGCCAAAGAGCTTCTTCCGCCTTTCCTTTTCTCGATTCCGTACGAGCCATTTCGCCGTTCAGTTCGTCGTCGCCACCTGCCATTCAAAACCCAACAAACCCCGACCCGACCCGGTTCGGTTTGACGGAGCTCCACATCATCATCGCCTTCTTCGCTTCGCTTCCCGCGTCGTCTCGAAAGCGAGATTGGGTGGAAATTCTGGCATCGGGAGACGAATCTCCAGCCCCGCCCCCGTTCGCAGATTCAGAGACCATGTCGACGACTTCCCCTCCTCCTCCTCCTCCGCCGCCGCCGCCGCCACCGCCGCCGCCACCTCTTCCTCATCCTCCTCCCCGCCGTCCTCCTCGATGGAGGTACGATGTGTTCGTGAGCTTCCGAGGCAAAGATGTGAGGAGAAACTTCGTAGCGCACCTCTTCTCCGATCTCCGGCGGGCCTCCATCCAATTCTTCAGGTGACGTGGCAAATCGTTTTTTCCCTTTTTTCCCCATACAATAGGGATTAAATGAAAAGAAAAACAATAATAATAATTAATAATAATAGAAATCTATTCGGACCACCTAATTTCTCTCTCTTCCCCTCCGTCAGTCCACGCCGCCGCGTCTGAGCTTTGACCTCCGCGCCTCCCCCGCCGTCGCCGGCACGTCGTCCGGATCGTGGAGCGGCCGAGGACGGAGCAAGGCTCCGTGGACGAACCGCCGCGCTGGGTCATGGGCCCCGGCAAAGTCACCGTTCGGATCCGGTCGGCTCCGCCTTCCACCCGTCGCCGTGGTTCCAGATCTGGTCGGGCAGAGCAGATATGTGCGGCAACGGAGGCGGAGGGGGGTAACTTGAGCGGTGGCGACGGCCGTGCCAGGGGGCGGTATGGCGGTGGCTGTCATGGCGGAGGAAGAGAGAGAAATGAAGGTACTTGACTTTTTAATGTGCGCGTCAATGCTTTCAGAGACAACGCGAGAGAAGACATTGGGGAAGAGATCAAATCCAAGCTTTTCGAAGCGATATGGCATGCGAGGATTGCCCTGATCGTGTTCTCCAGGAACTACGCCGACTCGAAGTGGTGCATGAACGAGCTGGTCGAGATCCTGGAGTGCAAGAAGAGGTACGGAACCCATGGTCACCTGGTTGTTCCCATCTTCCACGAGGTAGAAGCCGGAGACATTTCGAACTTCGATGGCGGAAGTGAATTCGCTCAAGGGTTTGCGAGATTGTGTGGAAAGGCGACAGATGCTGAGCAGATACAGAAATGGAGGGACGCCCTGAGAGAGACTAAGCAATTGACAGGATTCGACTTGCGGAACGACGCCGGAGGGTACAGCATCTCTTCTTCTTCTCCTTCTTCTCCAACATATTCATTGCGTTATTATTTTGCGACTCCGATCATCTTGATTTTAGTTTAAATGCGTGTTTGATGTTGAATGTGGAAATTCAAACTCTTTCGAGTTTTGCCATTTTTGGGTCCCTGATGGGCTCATACGAACCATTTTGGGGGAAGTCGATTTCCCCCGATCTAAGCTAGTTCTCGAAAACAGTTTCCTTCAAACAAAGGGCCATAAGTTTCTTCTTCTTCCTCCTCTGCTATTATTTGCTACTTTCTAGGATTTTCGCTCATTGGGGGACTTAATATGTTGATGTTTGCTAATCCTAACGTTGTGTAAACCAGGAGAAAGTATTCCGATAAGTCGAATTTGTCCCCTTAATTAACATCAAAATCAAAAAAGATCTTTCTTTAGCAATTATTGCAAGAGAAATTAGCCGAATATTTCTATTAATGAATAATTCGTTGGGAATCATGACAGAATATGCTACGTCATCGTATATTGCATAAACTGAAAATATGAGATAAGGGAACGGTACAACCTCGTACCGTCTCGGCCTGTCACCTTTATGCTTGCCTTATGCCCGTTGTTACTGCGCGTACTTGGGACAATCCCTGTCCCCAGAGCTAGTCGTCGCAAGACTCTTGTGGAAGCCTATAGGGAAGGTGCTAATATGGTTTTAGGAAGTGACCAGCTGTGCTCATTACCTCTGCATATTGCTTGTTCTTCTTTGTTTTCTGCAATTTTTGCAAAATTTATGTTCCATTTGTCATCTATATGAACCTCATTTATCAAACTACAGACGTATGATAAAGTCATAATCATTTGACAACCAAATATCAAAACTTATCTACAATAAATTACAATTATAGGATATTTTATCCACCTAATAGTAAGGGCATTCTCATGCTTGGGGGGGGGGGGGGGGAAACAGTGGCCTGGAACAGCATAAGTGCCTCCCCAGAACTTGTAAACAAGTTATGATCGACAACTTATACCATTGAACGTCCACCAGAGGACTCACAATTTTGTTCTGATGTAAAATAATTGGCTATAGGCGCATGCTGCATCAGCAGGAAACTTAATAACAAGCACTGATTTACAAGTTGGATGTTTTTCATTCATATGAATGTGTAAAATGTTGAATATTTTGTCTCTTGGTGCATATTTACATTTATTTCTCTTATAACCTTAACTGCACAACATAGGGATGAAGGGAGACTTGCGGACATAATAGTAGAGTACCTTGTGGAGAAAATCCGCGAAACACGGCCACTCTACTTTGTGAAAAACGCAATAGGAGTGGATGTCTTGGTACATGAGGTGATTTCTTTACTTGGAAAGGGCCAAGAGGAGGACGTGCGCGCGATAGGCATATGTGGAGCAGAAGGAATAGGGAAGACGGTGGCGTCCAGAGTCATTTGCAATAGCATTCGCAGCGATTTTGAGTGTTTTGTATTTCTTGATAAAATTGGAGAAGCAGATCGCAACAATCTTGTAGGTCTATTAGGCCTACAAAAGAAGCTGCTCCATAATCTAATAAAGGTGGAAGGATGGAGGATGTATGACGACATTCAGACCAACATCGACGAGATAAATAGTAACATGTGCCTTAAAAGGATACTTCTTGTTCTTGATAATGTTACTAGGAAAGAACAGATTGACTACTTCGGGGCCGGAGAGCGAGAACTGCTGTGTCCCGGGAGCAGAATTTTGATCACAACCAGAGACCAAAACTTGCTAAAAGATCTCAAGGTAGACGACAAGTATATCATCAAAGGTTTGCACCCGAATGAAGCACTTCAGCTCTTTCGCCGCCATGCCTTGAAGAGAGAAGAACCTCAAGAAGGCTATGAGGAGTTGTCCCAAAGTCTAGCTCATTATGCAGGAGGTCATCCATTGTCTCTTAAAAGGCTGGGTTCATCCCTAAACGGCAAGTCAAAACATCAATGGCATCAGACATTGGAGAAGTTGGTTAAAAGCCCTTATCTCGATTCTCTCTTTTGTTCGTTCTTGTCAGTTGGGCCACATGGAGGTCAAGGCGGTGATGCTTTTGATGATGGGGCACACACTGGGGTGAGGCAAATTAGGCTCTACGGACAGTCAGTTATTGATGCCATCACCATCGACTATGATCAGGACGGGTGTTTGGAGAGATCCTCCCAGCACGGTGGACGTGTCCATGACAATGAAACGGTCAGTTTTGTGCCGCTCTAATAGACTGATTATGTACTTTACTACTCATCGCTTATAAGAAGGTAAACAGAGTCAACTACAAGTTCAATATCATTTTTGTGCGTCTATTATAGAATCTACCACAAAAAGTTGATAGATAGAAGAATGTAGTCAGGTAGTCAGGAGTGATGGTCAACATGTAAACATCTACGGAAGTGTTGGTGTGTTACTGCTTCACGTAACTTTGCCAAGTATGAAGGTTCAAATTCTATCATTCCTTTTTTCTTCTTTTACGTATTTACTTCGACTCTTTTGATTTGTTTATGGGACTTTATTATCTTGCCTTTCATTTACCGCAAAATCGGCATGCGGCAGCTTTGCTCACGGACCTACTTATAGCAAAAAACTCTAAACAAAAAACATTTCTTCGTTCCTTTTTCTATTAGGGATAAGTACTTAAACCAAATTTGGTCAAGTAATTTATCTTTCATGGTAAAGGAATTATATTGATCCAAAATAACACAGAAGCAATACATATTAGCTGTTAGATGAATGTGATGATGGTAACACTTACAAAAACTTTTGCACTTCTTGCAGCTGGTGAGATTGGATCATCCAAGTGAATACCTAATTTCTATATCAGGCCATATTGATGATTATGGTGGTCATGATGTTGTCCGGTCTCTCAAGATCCGCAGCAACAAGAAGACGTATGGACCATTTGGATCTGAACAAGGACAGCCTTTTGATCTCTCACATTCAGATGGAAAGATTATCGGGTTTCATGGGAAATGTGGCAGCCATCTCCACTCAATCGGAGCACATTTTGGGCCGATTTCTCACGCGTATCCATTTGATGTTGTGGGACCATTTGGTGGTGATAGTGGTATGGACATTTGGGACGACAGAAAATATGTGGATGTGAGGCAAATTGTCATAGGCTTCGATTCAGCAATTAAGTCCATCTCTATCTTATACGATGAACACGGACGTCCAGTTGGTCCGTTCACACATGGCCCAAGTGGAGGAGGCAAAACATATACGGTGAGCTATGATATAAACATTGTCAACATCATCGTCTGGATGCAATGTGGTTTTGTTGATGTCCTCGATGCTTTATTTTTTCTGGTGAAGTCTAATCTTCATTGTTATAGTAGATAGTTTTTCTTGAATTCTTTAATTTTTATCCTTTTTCTTTCTCAGATCAAGCTTGACCATCCAAGTGAGTACTTGACATCCATATCGGGCTATACTGAAGAGGTTTCTGGACTCACCATTCTTCAATCATTGACAATTCATACTAATAGAAGGGATCATGGACCGATTGGAACAAATAGTAAAGGGAGGCATTTTTCATTTCCATACACCGGCGGCAAAATTGTCGGGTTTCATGGGACTTGCGATGGCCCTCGTCTCGAGTCCATCGGAGCTTTTTATGAGCCGATTCCTCATACATATCCCATTAAGGTTTTCGGGCCTTTTGGAAGGAAAGGCCAAAAATCCTGGGATTTTGTTGATTTAAAGGGGATTGATGTTCTCTACACAGATTTCATCAAGTCCATTACTTTTGAAGTCGATGACGCCACCAGCTCCGAACCGCAAACTAATTATGGTGAAAATGGCAGGGAGAATACTTTCAAGGTTAGATCTAGACTCTTATCCTTTTATTTTTTTTCCGTTTCTGCTTGAACGATGTAAGTTTATTTGTCTAGCTTATCATAACATTAGTCGGATTACGGCATTATGAACCTCAAGATTCTGAGCAATTATATCTCAAATGCACGTGAAAATTTACATAACAGAGATACCTGAGGATCAGCATGATTGTTGGAAAACCAAATGAAAAATTAATGACTTCACTTTATTAAAATTAGGCAAAGACAAACCTAGCCATAAACAAAAGGTAAATTAACTTTTGATTTACAAAGTGAAATGTACTACCAAATTCATTAGAAACGTAATTTACACGAATCTTAGCATATCAAACTTATTTCATAGATTCGAATCGTATTTCAAAAGAATATACTAATTTATTTTGCTCATCCAATGATGCAACATAGAGTCACTCATGTCAAATATGGCTTTTTGTGGCCTTTTTGCAGGCTAAACTGAGAAAGGGAGAGTACATAACTTCTTTTGCTGGATATCTCAAAAATGCAAATGATAGTGGGACTCTGATCAACTCGCTGACATTTCAAACCAACGAAAGAACTTTGGGACCGATTGGTAGAGAGGAGGGGGAGTACTTCTCCTTACCATCGGAAGCTGGGAAAGTTAACAGGTTTTTTGGGACAAGTGGTGATCATCTGGAATCTATCGGAGCAGAGGTCAAACTATACTCTAACAAGCACTATCCCTTTATGTCTGTGGGGTTATTTGGTCCATTCATCAATAATTCGAATGCATCTTTTTGGGATGATGGCAATAAGCATACCAATGTGAGGAAAATCATTGTTGAATTTGAACCGAGAAAAGGGCCATACATCCGATCAATCACGTTTCAGTATGAAGAGGAGTGTAAAGAATTTTGGCAATCTGAGACACATGGTGGCATTGATGAAAACAACTTCCATATAGTAAGGAACGTTGACATCCATACGGTATGTCCCCGTACATACATATGCTTCCTAAAATCCCTGCGAAACTTGCATAGCCTACTTTAGCAGGTGACTCTTTCGAGACTTAAATCATGAGAATGATGGTTATGTCTATTATTGCAGATCAAAATACACGATCCAGATGAGTATTTGTCTTCGATATCCGGGTATTATTATTCGTCCGGCATTACTTCTCTCACGTTTCAAACTAACAAAAAGACGATCGGACCTATTGGTGATGAAGTGGGATGGCACTTCTCATCTCCTGCAACAGGCGGCAAAATTGTTGGATTTTATGGGAGGAGTCGCGAACATCTCGAAGCGATTGGAGCATATTTTGAACCGATCTCGCATCTCTACCCAATTAAATCGATCGGGCCGTTTGGAGGCCTAGGTGGATGTGCTTGGGACGACGGGCAATTCAGCGGTGTGAGGGAAATTGAGGTAATGTACGACAGTATTATCCGTCACATTATGTTTGTGTATGACAAGAGCGGTGAACGAGTTTGCTCAAGAGTGCACGGTGGCCCCACTGGGGAAGACAAGTCCAACATCATCAGGGTAAGTGTTTCTTTCATTCTCCAATTCGTCATTGTTTACTTAGTCATATCTCATCGGTCGAGATGATGCTAATATGTGTCCGGTCACGTGATTTAGTAAATTAAACTTGACAAATAAGTATTGTTTTCACCGCTCGTCGAGTCTTAAGAGTGACTTTTGAGATTGCATAGGTTAAATTGGATTATCCACGGGAGTACTTGACATCGATAGCTGGTTACAAGCGAGAGGATGGTGCTATCGTTCAGTCGCTCACATTTTACAGTAATAAAGGAAGACATGGTCCCTATGGCAAGGAGACGGGGAAGTACTTTTGGTATCCTTCAACCGGAAGCAAAATCATCGGCTTTTATGGAACATGCGGGGAGACTCTCAAATCCATAGGAGTGTATGCAGAGCCCATACCACACATGTATCCTTTCAAAACCATTGGACCCTTTGGAGGCTCTGGTGGTACTCCATGGGATGATGGAGTGCATACTGATGTGAGGGCATTTCATATCATTGCCAGCGACGTAATTCACTCCATCGGCATTGTGTACGATAACAATGGTTCCATCGTCGACCACATTCAACGCGGCCATGGAGCCAGCTGGGTTAGTCCAGATCTCAATCCCTCTCTCTCTCTCTCTCTCTCTCGAAGTTGTTCATGTATACAGGTTGCTTTTCATAATGTTCTTAGCTTCATGTGGCACACTATCTTTTCATCGAAGACTGAGGCACTTCTTTTGGCATCCTATGTGTCGAAGCTTCATATGTTTTCACAAGTAAAACATGTTTGGCTTTGCTGTTCTTGCAGGTCATTCTGGATTATCCCAAGGAGCGTCTAGTTTCGATATCGGGTTGCATGAACGGAAATGGAAACGCTCCTCACACTATCATCCGCAGCCTGAACATACGTACCACGAAGGCCATTTACGGGCCGTACGGATCGAAGGATGCTTTCGGAAGGTTAACGGAATTTTGTATCCCGCCGGCATCAGGTGGTGGCAGGATCGTTGGCTTTTTCGGAAGTGTGGGATCACGTCTTAATTCTATCGGAGCGCGTTTGGAACCATATTAAAGTTAAACCCCCTTCCCTCCCCCGAGCTGTATTTTTATTTACGTTTTTTTGTCTTTGGCTTGTGAATTGTAAGAATCTTCTTTTTAATTTATTTTTTTTAAATGATGTTGGAACTAGTCTTTTTTTTCAAGCGTTTGACATGGAAATTTTCGGTAAATCTGAGGATTAACTATGAGGATGCGTTGGATTTAGCTTGTCCACTTTTTGAAACTAATAACAACTTTATTGTCTAAAGATATGTCGCCTTGATACTAAATTTTGTCGATTGGTTAATCCAATAGTTACGTGCAAACGAAGCTGGAATGGTCTAGCCATCTAATTATAAACTATAAAGTAAATTATAAAGTAATAAATTTGTAGAGAAATATAATTGGTATTACCGTCTTAGTAGCTCCTCGTCAGAAATTAAATTTACTGTCCATTTCTCTTCACAGATCTAAGGTTAATTTATAGATAGTTCAAGCAAAGACAATGTAATAAATATGAATTTATAACTTAATCATGACCATTACATCATTATTACATCATCATTGTTATAATTGATTACCCATTGAGAAAAAAAAAAGTTATTATTTGTTATCGACTATTTAGTTTAAAAAAATCATGCTATAATTAGATTTTATGAATAAAATTTAAGATTACCTTAAGGGACTGATGGAGTTTAAGGAATATTATTAGTTTCAGCCTATTAGCTTACACAATATAGTTTTGAAAATAATTTTTATAATTATAGATATATCTAATTAATACAATAACAAATTATGTTCGAATTACTACTACACACACAAATATTGTAATCATTTGTAAATTGTATTAATTTTTCATTTATAGAACTCATGGAATCGAATGAGCCAAGCACAAATCCTAATTTGATGTAAAATGAGTGGCAAGTGTAAAACAAAAAAAATACATTTGTAAGGACTAGGAGAAATTAATTCCTTGCAAGTCATAGTCTTATGGACCAACTTTAGTAGCAATTCTCAGAAAATTTTTTGTCTAACAAAATACAACTTATCAACTAGAATGTTCTGTTTGTGCTGATTTTCAAGATTCTACAGTTGGAGGTTAGGATTAAATATGTTTGTGTTTCTAATTTTGCAGATTAAACTCAATTACCCTCGAGAGTACTTGACTTTATTTTCCGGTTACTTTGAAGATTATTGCAAGTATATTATCGTTTTCGCTCACTCAAATTTCAGAGCAATGAAAGAACTTCTGGACCAATTGGTGTAGAAGACGGGAAGTACATTTATATTCCATCAACTGATAAAAAGATCGCGGGTTTCATGGGAGGTGTGGAATCTATCTTGATGCACTTGGAGCACATTTTGAGCCTTGACAGGCTAAGCTCTATGTGCGCCTTGCAGTTGATGTTTGACTTCACATTTAATGTGTATCATCACATAGGCCGGTTTGATGTATCCTCCAAGAATAAGATGTGTTAAAGGATTTATATAGAATTGTATCTTCACTAGCCAATCTCAACATCACCATTACGCCATATCTCATGTTCTATTTTTAGTTAGATCACATAATTTACACGGTACATTGAAGAAGATTGTGTTAATGATTTGTAAACTAATCACGTAGTTTAACATTAAATTTACAAGGTTATGGTCATTACAATATAAACAACCATGATAATTTAATCATATTCGTAAACTAACCATGGAATTTAAACAACTGAAAATATATAATGCAAAGCCAATCATATTCGAAGTTTTTTTGCTACTATGAAACCGGCGCACCTCTACCGTCCTAGTCATACATGACCCGTACCTGGTTAGAGGAACATCGTCAAAGGGAAACACACGGTCCAAATTGCTTTTCTTAATGTGAAATAGCTCTTCGGTCTTTAACTTATCTTTTCTAGTGAAAGAATTGCATCACATTAATCAATGGTTGCTTTTTTCGTCCAAAACCCGATCACTGATTTGATAACTCGACGAGTTTATCTAGACTCTGACACAATTTGGGTGGGCTTGAGTAAGTATATTTCTTGTACACCTAGGCTCATCTACTCAGGTCCAATCCACCCTGCCCGTGCCTAACCATTTTTCGGGAAAATTTGACATTATCATGAATGAGCGTCTGAGTAAGGATTTTAAGCTCGATACTCAAATGAGAAAAGATAATTCAAAGATTACGCTATTCTGATGATTAAAAAAATTGGGATAATTAAATGATCGAAGACCCAGATATTGTAAATTAACAGCACAGCTGGAATCTGCATACGATGACTTCTTTAGCAAGCCTCTCTCTCCAATGTCTCAATGAAACTTAGAATCTAAATATAGCCCCTCAAACGATAACAAATCACCATAGGAGCTTCAAATCAATGTCTGAAACCGTCCACCGCCTCCTCTTAAAGATACTTGGCCGTCCACCACCTCCTCCACTGCCGCCGCCGTCGCCGCCGCCGCCGCCGCCGCCGCCGCCTCCTCCTCCTTCTCATCGTCCTCAATGGAAGTACGATGTGTTCGTGAGCTTCCGAGGAGAGGATCTGAGGAGGAACTTCATATCGCACCTCTTCTCTGCTTTGAGGGAGGCCTCCATTCAATTCTTCAGGTGACGTGGCAATCATTTTATTTTTTCTTTTTTGGCGCTCCCATCCAATCCAATTTGGTTTGACCATGACAATAGCATTAAATGCAACAAAAAAAAAATAGAAATCTATTGGGACCACTTAATTTCTCTCTCTTCCCCCTCAGTCCACGTCACCTCTGAGCTTGACCTGCCCGCCTCCCCGCCGTCGCCGGCGCCGCGTCCGAACCGCTCCCCCCCGTCGTGTTTGTCTTCCTCCGAACTAGATCTGGAGCCCTGGCCGCGTCCGACCCAGATCTGGAGGCACCGGCCATTGACGACGGAGAACTTTCAGATCTGGCGAAGACCCTCGCCGGCGACGAGCACGAAGACTGCGATCGAGCTTCTAGGTTTGGGAGCTTGCCCATGGCCGTGAGCCTTGACGGCGAGGTCCATTTGTTTTCGGCCACCGGCCAGTTCTGGTCGCTTCGTCTTCTCGCCATCACCATGGCTCCAGATCTTGGTCTTCAAGCTTCGGCTTCCTCTGTGCATCTGCTGCTTGTCTTCAACTTCGTCTGCCTCTGTTTTTTTGTTTTTGAGCTCATGATGTCGCAGCGGCCATATCTGGTCGTAGCGGCCAAGGACGAGCAAGGCTCGTGTTTGTGGACGAACCGCCTCGCCGGTCATGGACCAGCAATGTCACTATTCAGATCCGGTGGGCTCTGTCACGGTTACAAATCAACGAAGGCGGAGGGTGTAAACTCGCTGCAGGGTGCGACAGCCACGACGACGGGGAGGGCTCGAGGATGGAGGTGTCGGCGGTCATGCTAGGGGGGCGGTATGGCGGTGGCTGTCAAGACAGAGAAATGAAGTTGTTAATTTTTTTGTGTGTGTCAATGCTTTCAGGGACAACGCGAGAGAAGACATTGGGGAAGAAATCAAATCCAAGCTTTTCAAAGCGATATGGCACGCGAGGATTGCCCTGATCGTGTTCTCCAGAAACTACGCCGACTCGAAGTGGTGCATGAACGAGCTGGTCGAGATCCTGGAGTGCAAGAAGAGGTTCGGGAACCATGGTCACCTGGTTGTTCCCATCTTCCACGAGGTAAAAGCCGGAGACATTTCGAACTTCGAGGGCGGAAGTGAATTCGCTCAAGGTTTTGCGAGATTGTGTGGAGACGCGACAGATGAAGGGCAGATACAGAAATGGAGGGACGCCCTGAGAGAGACTAAGCAATTGACAGGATTCGGCTCGCGGAATGACGCCGGAGGGTACGGCATCTCTGCTTCTCCTTCTCCACCATGTTCATTGCGTTATCATTTTGTGACTCCGATCATCTTGATTTTGGTTCAATTTGGGTTTGATGTTGAACGTGAAATTCAAACGGCCCCAAGTTTCTTCTTCATCCTCCTCTTCTGTTATCTACTACTTTCTAGGATTTTCACTCACTGGGGGGGAATTAAACAGTTGATGTATGCTCATCCTAACGCAGTGTAAACCAAGAGAAGTATTCCGATAAGTCGAATTTGTCCCCTTAATCAACATAAAAATCCGAAACGATCTATTTTAGTAACTATTGCAAGAGAAATTGGCCGAGTATTTCTATCCATGAATAATTCGTTGGGGTTCTTATAATATTGAATTTCATGACAGAATATGCTACTTCATGGTATATTGCATAAACTGAAAATATGAGATAAGGCGACGGTACAATCTCGTCCGTCGCCGCCTGTCACCTCTATACTTGCCGATGAGGCTCTGGTGACAGTTGATATGCCCGTTGTTACTGCGTGTACTTGGGACAATCACTGTCCCCAGAGCTAGTCGTGGCTAGACTCTTGTGGAAGCCAATAGTGGCGGTGCTAATACGGTTTTAGGAAGTGACCAGCTCTCCTCATTACCTCTGTATATTGCTTTTTCTTCTTTGTTTTCTGCAATTTTTGCAAAATTTATGTTCCATTTGTCATCAATGTGAACCTCATTTATCAAACTACAGATATATGATAAAGTCAGAATCATTTGACAACCAAATATCAAAATGTATCTACAGTATATTACAATTAAAGGAGATTTTACCCACCTAATAGTAAGGGCCATTCTCATGCTTTGGGTTTAGAATCCGATGGTTGCGGGTTCGATTTTTGGCCTGGGGAACCTCAAGATTAAGGGGGGAAGTGGGCATTGTTGTGAGCTGCTATGCTAATTCCCTTCCAGATGACCAATTAATTGCGGTTGTGTCATTGAATCATAAAAAATTTAGAGTATCTTGGACTGTTCATGTTCACTAATGATTAATCTGTCACGGTGGCACATCAATAAATCAAAACAGTTTCAGCAATGACTAAGAAGTAAGAACTGACCTCTGTTAACCTCCCTATTTTGATGTGTTCCGTTGCTGTGTCCTGCTTCTGTACTACTGCACTTGTACAGTGAATACAAGTCTACTCTTGCTCGACGGACCTCTGAAACAATGTATAAAAAGAAAAAAAACAGGGGACAGTGACCTGGAACAGCATAAGTACCTCCCCAGAACTTGTAAACAAGTTATGATCGACAACTTATACCATTGAACGTCCACCAGAGGACTCGCAATTTTGTTCTGATGTAAAATAATTGACTATAGGCGCATGCTACATCAGCAGGAAACTTAATAACAAGCATTGATTTACAAGTTGGATGTTTTTTCATTCATATGAATGTGTAAAATCTTGAATATTTTGTCTCTTGGTGCATATTTACATTTATTTCTCTTATAACCTTAACTGCACAACATAGGGATGAAGGGAGACTTGCGGACATAATAGTAGAGTACCTTGTGGAGAAAATCCGCGAAACACGGCCACCCTACTTTGTGAAAAACGCAATAGGAGTGGATGTCTTGGTACATGAGGTGATTTCTTTACTTGGAAAGGGCCAAGAGGAGGACGTGCGCGTGATAGGCATATGTGGAGCAGAAGGAATAGGGAAGACGGTGGCATCCAGAGTCATTTGCGATAGCATTCGCAGCGATTTTGAGTGTTTTGTCTTTCTTGATAAAATTGGAGAAGCAGATCGCAACAATCTTGTAGGTCTATTAGGCCTACAAAAGAAGCTGCTCCATAATCTAATAAAGGTGGAAGGATGGAGGATGTATGACGACATTCAGACCAACATCGACGAGATAAATAGTAACATGTGCCGTAAAAGGATACTTCTTGTTCTTGATAATGTTACTAGGAAAGAACAGATTGACTACTTCGGGGCCGGAGAGCGAGAACTGCTGTGTCCCGGGAGCAGAATTTTGATCACAACCAGAGACCAAAACTTGCTAAAAGATCTCAAGGTAGATGACAAGTATATCGTCAAAGGTTTGCTTCCAAATGAAGCGCTTCGGCTCTTTCGCCGCCATGCCTTGAAGAGAGAAGAACCTCAAGAAGGCTATGAGGAGTTGTCCCGAAGTCTAGCTCATTATGCAGGAGGTCATCCATTGTCTCTTAAAAGGTTGGGTTCATCCCTAAACGGCAAGTCCAAAGATCTATGGGATCAGACATTGGAGAAGTTGAAGAGAAGCCCTTATCTTGATTCGCTGTCTCGTTCCTTCTGGTCAGTTGGGCCATATGGAGGTCAAGCCGGCGATGCTTTTGATGATGGGGCACACACTGGTGTGAGGCAAATTAGGCTCTACGGACAGTCAGTTATTGATGCCATCACCATCGACTATGATCAGGACGGGTGTTTGGAGAGATCCTCCCAGCACGGTGGACGTGTCCATGACAATGAAACGGTCAGTTTTGTGCCACTCTAATAGACTGATTATGTACTTTACTACTCATCACTTATAAGAAGGTAAACAGAGTCAACTACAAGTTCAATATCATTTTTGTGCGTCTATTATAGAATCTACTGCAAAAAGTTGATAGATAGAAGAATGTAGTAAGGTAGTCAGGAGTGATGGTCAACATGTAAACATCTACGAAAGTGTTAGTGTGTTACTGCTTCACGTAACTTTGCCAAGTATGCAGGTATAAATTCTATCATTCCTTTTTCTTCTATTCTTGTACGTAATTACTTCGTCTCTTTTGATTTGTTTATGGGACTTTTATCATCTTGCCTTTCATTTACCGCAAAATCGGCATGCGGCCGCTTTGCTCATGGACCTACTTATGGCAAAAAACACTGAACTTAAAAACTTTCCTTCGTTCCTTTTTTCTATTAGGGATAAGTACTTAAACCAAATTCGGTCAAGTAATTTATCTTTCACGGTAAAGGAATTATATTGATCCAAAATAACACAAAAGCAATACATATTAGCTGTTAGATGGATGTGATGACGGTAACACTTGCAAAAACTTTTGCACTTCTTGCAGCTGGTGAGATTGGATCATCCAAGTGAATACCTAATTTCTATATCAGGCCATATTGATGATTATGGTGGTCATGATGTTGTCCGGTCTCTCAAGATCCGCAGCAACAAGAAGATGTATGGACCATTTGGATCTGAACAAGGACAGCCTTTTGATCTCTCACATTCTGATGGAAAGATTATCGGGTTTCATGGGAAATGTGGCAGCCATCTCCACTCAATCGGAGCACATTTCGGGCCGATTTCTCACGCGTATCCCTTTGATGTCGTGGGACCATTTGGTGGTGATAGTGGTATGGACATTTGGGACTACGGAAAATATGTGGACGTGAGGCAAATCGTCATAGGCTTCGATTCAGCAATTAAGTCCATCTCTATCTTATACGATGAACACGGACGTCCAGTTGGTCCGTTCACACATGGCCCAAGTGGAGGAGGCAAAACATATACGGTGAGCTATGATATAAACATTATCAACATCATCATCTGGATGCAATGTGGTTTTGTTGATGTCCTCGATGCTTTATTTTTTCTGGTGAAGTCTAATCTTCATTTTTATAGTAGATAGTTTTTCTTGAATTCTTTAATTTTTATCCTTTTTCTTTCTCAGATCAAGCTCGACCATCCAAGTGAGTACTTGACATCCATCTCGGGCTATACTAAAGAAGTTTCTGGACTCACCATTCTTCAATCATTGACAATTCATACTAATAGAAGGGATCATGGACCGATTGGAACAACTAATAACGGGAGGCCTTTTTCATTTCCATACACCGGCGGCAAAATTGTCGGGTTTCACGGGACTTGCGATGGCCCTCGTCTTGAGTCCATCGGAGCTTTTTATGAGCCGATTCCTCATACATATCCCGTTAAGGTTTTCGGGCCTTTTGGAAGGAAAGGCCAAAAATCCTGGGATTTTGTTGATTTAAAGGGGATTGATGTTCTCTACACAGATTTCATCAAGTCCATTACTTTTGAAGTCGACGACGCCACCAGCTCCGAACCGCAAACTAATTATGGTGAAAATGGCAGGGAGAATACTTTCAAGGTTAGATCTAGACTCTATCCTTTTATTTTTTTTCCGTTTCTGCTTGAACGATGTAAGTTTATTTGTCTAGCTTATCATAACATTAGTCGGATTACGGCATTATGAACCTTAAGATTCTGAGCAATTATATCTCAAATGCACGTGAAAATTTACATAACAGAGATACCTGAGGATCAGCATGATTGTTGGAAAACCAAATGAAAAATTAATGACTTCACTTTATTAAAATTAGGCAAAGACAAACCTAGCCATAAACAAAAGGTAAATTAACTTTTGATTTACAAAGTGAAATGTACTACCAAATTCATTAGAAATGTAATTTACATGAATCTTAGCATATCAAACTTATTTCATAGATTCGAATCGTATTTCAAAAGAATATACTAATTTATTTTGCTCATCCAATGATGCAACATAGAGTCACTCATGTCAAATATGGCTTTTTGTGGCCTTTTTGCAGGCTAAACTGAGAAAGGGAGAGTACATAACTTCTTTTGCTGGATATCTCAAAAATGCAAATGATAGTGGCACTCTGATCAACTCACTCACATTTCAAACCAACGAAAGAATATTGGGACCGATTGGTAGAGAGGAGGGGGAGTACTTCTCCTTACCATCGGAAGCTGGGAAAGTTAACAGGTTTTTTGGGACAAGTGGTGATCATCTGGTATCTATCGGAGCAGAGGTCAAGCTATACTCTAACAAGCACTATCCCTTTATGTCTGTGGGATTATTTGGTCCATTCATCAATAATTCGAATGCATCTTTTTGGGATGATGGCAATAAGCATACCAATGTGAGGAAATTCATTGTTGAATTTGAACCGAGAAAAGGGCCATACATCCGATCAATCACGTTTCAGTATGAAGAAGAGTGTAAAGAATTGTGGCAATCTGAGACACATGGTGGCATTGATGAAAACAACTTCCATATAGTAAGGAACATCAACATCCATATGGTATGTCCCCGTACATATATATGCTTCCTAAAATCTTTTCGAAACTTGCATAGCCTACGTTAGCAGGTGACTCTTTCGAGACTTAAATCATGAGAATGATGGTTATGTCTATTATTGCAGATCAAAATACATGATCCAGATGAGTATTTGTCTTCGATATCCGGGTATAGTTATTCGTCCGGCATTACTTCTCTCACGTTTCAAACTAACAAAAAAACGATCGGACCTATTGGTGATGAAGTGCGATGGCACTTCTCATCTCCTGCAACGGGCGGCAAAATTGTTGGATTTTATGGGAGGAGTGGTGAGCATCTTGAATTAATTGGGGCATATTTTGAACCGATCTCGCATCTCTACTCAATTAAATTAATCGGGCCATTTGGAGGCCTAGGTGGATGTGCTTGGGACGACGGGCAATTCAGCGGTGTGAGGGAAATTGAGGTAATGTACGACAATATTATCCGTCACATTATGTTTGTGTATGACAAGAGCGGTGAACGAATTTGCTCAGGAGTGCACGGTGGCCCCACTGGGGAAGACAAGTCCAACGTCATCAGGGTAAGTGTTTCTTTCATTCTCCAATTCGTCATTGTTTACTTAGTCATATCTCATCGGTCGAGATGATGCTAATATGTGTCCAGTCACGTGATTTAGTAAATTAAACTTGACAAATAGGTATTGTTTTCACCACTCGTCGAGTCTTAAGAGAGACTTTTGAGATTGCATAGGTTAAATTGGATTATCCACGGGAGTACTTGACATCGATATCTGGTTACAAGCGAGAGGATGGTGCTATCGTTCAGTCGCTCACATTTTACAGTAATAAAGGAAGACATGGTCCCTATGGCAAGGAGACGGGGAGGTACTTTTGGTATCCTTCAACCGGAAGCAAAATCATCGGCTTTTATGGAACATGCGGGGAGACTCTCAAATCCATAGGAGTGTATGCAGAGCCCATACCGCACATGTATCCTTTTAAAACCATTGGACCCTTTGGAGGCTCTGGTGGTACTCCATGGGATGATGGAGTGCATACTGATGTGTTGGCATTTCGTATCTTTGCTAGCGACGTAATTCACTCCATCGGCATTGTGTACGATAACAATGGTTCCATCGTCGACCACATTCAACGCGGCCAAGGAGCCAGCTGGGTTAGTCCAGATCTCAATCCCTCTCTCTCTCTCTCTCTCTCTCTCTCTCTTTCCCGTCTGGAAGTCGTTCGTGTATACGGGTTGCTTTTCATAATGTTCTTAGCTTCATGTGGCACAGTATCTTTTCATCGAAGACAGAGGCACTTCTTTTGGCATCCTATGTATCGAAGCTTCATATGTTTTCACAAGTAAAACATGTTTGGCTTTGCTATTCTTGCAGGTCATTCTGGATTATCCCAAGGAGTCTCTAGTTTCGATATCGGGTTGCATGAACGGAAATGGAAACGCTCCTCGCACTATCATCCGCAGCCTGAACATACGTACCACGAAGGCCATTTACGGGCCGTACGGATCGAAGAATGCTTTCGGAAGGTTAATGGAATTTTGTATCCCGCCGGCATCAGGTGGTGGCAGGATCGTTGGCTTTTTCGGAAGTGCGGGATCACGTCTTAATTCTATCGGGGCGCGTTTGGAACCATATTAAAGTTAAACCCCCTTCCCTCCCCCGAGCTGTATTTTTATCTACGTTTTTTTGTCTTTGGCTTGTGAATTGTAAGAATCTTCTTTTTAATTTATTTTTTTTAAATGATGTTGGAACTAGTCTTTTTTTCAAGCGTTTGACATGGAAATTTTCGGTAAATATGAGGATTAACTATGAGGATGCGTTGGATTTAGCTTGTCCACTTTTTGAAACTAATAACAACTTTATTGTCTAAAGATATGTCGCCTTGATACTAAATTTTGTCGATTGGTTAATCCAATAGTTACGTGCAAACGAAGCTGGATTGGTCTAGCCATCTAATTATAAACTATAAAGTAAATTATAAAGTAATAAATTTGTAGAGAAATATAATTGGTATTACCGTTTTAGTAGCTCCTCGTCAGAAATTAAATTTACTGTCCATTTCTCTTCACAGATCTAAGGCTAATTTATAGATAGTTCAAGCAAAGACAATGTAATAAATATGAATTTATAACTTAATCATGAACATTACGTCATTATTACATCATCATTGTTATAATTGATTACCCATTGAGAAAAAAAAAGTTACTATTTGTTATCGACTATTTAATTTAAAAAAATCATGCTATAATTAGATTTTATGAATAAAATTTAAGATTACCTTAAGGGACTGATGGAGTTTAAGGAATATTATTAGTTTCAGCCTATTAGCTTACACAATATAGCTTTGAAAATAATTTTTATAATTATAGATATATCTAATTAATACAATAACAAATTATGTTCGAATTACTACTACCACACACAAATATTGTAATCATTTGTAAATTGTATTAATTTTTCATTTATAGAACTCATGGAATCGAATGAGCCAAGCACAAATCCTAATTTGATGTAAAATGAGTGGCAAGTGTAAAACAAAAAAATACATTTGTAAGGACTAGGAGAAATTGATTCCTTGCAAGTCATAGTCTTATGTACCAACTTTAGTAGCAATTCTCAAAAAATTATTTTTCTAACAAAATACAACTTATCAACTAGAATGTTCTGTTTATGCTGATTTTCAAGATTCTACAGCTAGAGATTAGGATTAAATATGTTTGTGTTTCTAATTTTGCTGATTAAATTCAATTATCCTCGAGAGCACTTGACTTCACTTTCTGGTTACTTTGGAGATTATTACGAGTATACTGTCGTTCGCTCACTCAAATTTTAGAGCAATGAAAGAACTTATGGGCCAATTGGTGTAGAAGACGGGAAGTACATTTATATTTCATCAACCGGTAAAAAGATCGCGGGTTTCATGGGAGGTGTGGAATCTATCTTGATGCACTTGGAGCACATTTTGAGTCTTGACAGGCTAAGCTCTATGTGCGCCTTGCAGTTGATGTTTGAGTTCACATTTAATGTGTATCATCACATAGGCCGGTTTTATGTATCCTCCGAGAATAAAATGTGTTAAAGGATTTATATAGAATCGCATCTTCACTAGCCAATCTCAACATCACCGTTACGCAATATCTCATGTTCTATTTTTAGTTAGATCTCATAATTTACATAGTACATTGAAGAAGATTGTGTTAATGATTTGTAAACTAATCATGTAGTTTAGCATTAAATTTAGAAGGTTATGGTCATTACAATATAAGCAACCATGATAATTTAATCATATTCGTAAACTAACCATGGAATTTAAACAACCGAAAAATATATAATGCAAAGCAAATGATATTCGAGGTTTTTTTGCTACTACAAAACCGAGGCACCTCTATTGTCTTAGTCATACATGACCCGTACCTGGTTAGAGGAACATCGTCAAAGGGAAACACACGGTCCAAATTGTTTTTCCTAATGTGAAATAGCTCTTCGGTCTTTAACTTATCTTTTCAAGTGAAAGGATTGCATCACATTAATCAATGGCTCCCTTTTTCGTCCAAAACCCGATCACTGATTTAACAACCCGATGAGTTTATCTAGACTCTGACACAATTTGGGTGGGCTTGAGTAAGCATATTTCTTTTACACCTAAGCTCATCTACTCAGGTCCGATCCACCCTGCCCACACCTAGCCGTTTTTCGGGAAAATTTAACATTATCACGAGTGAGCGTATGAGTAAAGATCTTAAGCTCCATACCCAAATAAGAAAATATAATTCAAAGGCTACGCTATTCTGATGATTAAAAAATTGGGACAATTAAATGATCGAAGACTCAGATATTGTAAATTAACAGCACAGCTGGAATCTGCATACGATGACTTCTTTAACAAGCCTCTCTCGCCAATGTCTCAATGAAACTTGGAATATAAATATAACCCGTCAAACGAAGTTTCTCTGCACAACAAATCACCATAGGAGCATCAAATCAATGTCTGAAACTGTCCACCACCTCCTCTTAAAGATACTTGGCCGTCCACCACCTCCTCCACTTCCGCCGTCGCCGCCGCCGCCGCCTCCTCCTTCTCATCGTCCTCAATGGAAGTACGATGTGTTCGTGAGCTTCCGAGGAGAGGATCTGAGGAGGAACTTCATATCGCACCTCTTCTCTGCTTTGAGGGAGGCGTCCATTCAATTCTTCAGGTGACGTGGCAATCATTTTATGTTTTCTTTTTTGGCGTTCCCATCCAATCCAATTATGGTTTGACGATGACAATAGTATTAAATGCAAAAAAAAAAAAAAATAGAAATCTATTGGGACCACCTAATTTCTCTCTCTTCCCCCTCAGTCCACGTCACCTCTGAGCTTGACCTGCTCGCCTCCCCGCCGTCGCCGTCGCCGTCGCCTGCGCCGGCGCCGCGTCTGAGCCACTCCCCCCCGTCGTGTTTGTCTTCCTCCGAACTAGATCTGGAGCCTTGGCCGCGTCGGAACCAGATCTGGAGGCACCGGCCATGGACGACGGAGAACTTTCAGATCTGGCGACGAGCACGAAGACTGCGATCGAGCTTCCAGGTTTGGGAGCTTGCCCATGGCCGTGAGCCTTGACGGCGAGGTCCATTCGTTTTCGGCCAACGGCCAGTTCCGGTCGCTTCGTCTTCTCGCAGTCACCATGGCTCCAGATCTTGGTCTTCAAGCTTCGGCTTCCTCTGTGCATCTGCTGCTTGTCTTCAACTTCGTCTGCCTCTGTTTTTTTTTGTTTTTGAGCTCATGATGTCGCAGCGGCCATATCTGGTCGTAGCGGCCAAGGACGAGCAAGGTTCGTGTTTGTGGACGAACCGCCTCGCCGGTCATGGACCAGCAACGTCACTATTCAGATCCGGTGGGCTCTGTCACGGTTACAAATCAACGAAGGCGGAGGGTGTAGACTCGCTGCTGGGTGCGACAGCCACGACGATGGGGAGGGCTCGAGGATGGAGGTTGCGGCGGCTTGAGAGGTGGCGGCGGTCATGCTAGGGGGCGGTATGGCGGTGGCTGTCAAGACAGAGAAATGAAGTTAATTTTTATGCGTGTGTCAATGCTTTCAGTGACAACGCGAGAGAAGACATTGGGGAAGAGATCAAATCCAAGCTTTTCAGAGAGATATGGCACGCGAGGATTGCCCTGATCGTGTTCTCCAGGAACTACGCCGACTCAAAGTGGTGCATGAACGAGCTGGTCGAGATCCTGGAGTGCAAGAAGAGGTTCGGGAACCATGGCCACCTTGTTGTTCCCATCTTCCACGAGGTAAAAGCCGGAGACATTTCGAACTTCGAGGGCGGAAGTGAATTCGCTCGAGGTTTCGAGAGATTGTATGGAAACGCGACAGATGCTGAGCAGATACAGAAATGGAGGGACGCCCTGAGAGAGACTAAGCAATTGACAGGATTCGGCTTGCGGAACGATGCCGGAGGGTACGGCATCTCTTCTTCTCCTTCTCCACCATGTTCATTGCGTTATCATTTTGTGACTCCGATCATCTTGATTTTGGTTCAATGTGTGTTTGATGTTGGACGTGAAATTCAAACGGCCCCAAGTTTCTTCTTCATCCTCCTCTTCTGTTATCTGCTACTTTCTAGGACTTTCAGTCACTGGGGGGGAATTAATCAGTTGATGTCTGCTCATCCTAACGCAGTGTAAACCAAGAGAAGTATTCCTATAAGTCGAATATGTCCCCTTAATCAACATAAAAATCCGAAACGATCTGTTTTAGTAACTACTGCAAGAGAAATTGGCCGAGTACTTCTATTCATGAATGATTCGTCGGGTGGTTCTTATAATATTGAATTTCATGACAATATGCTACTTCATGGTATATTGCATAAACTGAAAATATGAGATAAGGCGACAGTACAATCTTGTCCGTCGCTGCCTGTCACCTCTATGCTTGCCGATAAGGCTCTGGTGACAGTTGATATGCCTGTTGTTACCGCGCGCACTCGGGACAATCCCTGTCCCCAGAGCTAGTCGCGGCAAGACTCTTGTGGAAGCCACAATAGGGACGGTGCTAATATGATTTTAGGAAGTTGAATAGCTGTCCTCATTACCTCTGCATGTTGCTTTTTCTTCTTTGTTTACTGCAATTTTTGCAAAATTTATGTTCCATTTGTCATCTATGTGAACCTCATTTATCAAACTACAGATATATGATAAAGTCTTAATCATTTGACAACCAAATATCAAAACGTATCTACAATATATCACAATTAAAGGATATTTTACCCACCTAATAGTAAGGGCATTCTCATGCTTTGGGTTTAGAATCCGATGGTTGTGGGTTCGATTTTTGGCCTGGGGAAACTCAAGATTAGAGTGTGGGGGGGAGGGGCCGCTTGTGACTTGCTATGCTATTTCCCTTCTAAATGACCAATTAATTACGGTTGTGTCATTGAATCATAAAAAATTTAGAGTATCTTGGACTTTTCGTGTTTCACTAATGATTAATCTGTCACGGTGGCACTTCAATAAATCAAAACAGTTTCAGCAATGACTAAGAAGTAAGAAATGACCTCTGTCACCAACCTCCCTATTTTGATGTGTTCCGTTGCTGTGTCCTGCTGCTGTACTACTGCACTTGTACAATGAATACAAGTCTACTCTTGCTCAACGGACCTCTGAAACATTGTATAAAAAAGCAAAAACAGGGGACAGTGACCTGGAACAGCAGAAGTGCCTCCCTAGAACTTGTAAACAATTTATGATCCACAACTTATACCATCGAACGTCCACCAGAGGACTCGCAATTTTGTTCTGATGTAAAATAATTGGCTATAGGCGCATGCTACATCAGCAGGAAACTTAAGAACGAGCACTGATTTACAAGTTGGATGTTTTTTCATTCATATGAATGTGTAAAATGTTGAATATTTTGTCTCTTGGTGCATATTTACATTTATTTCTCTTATAACCTTAACTACACAACATAGGGATGAAGGGAGACTTGTGGACATAATAGTGGAGTACCTTGTCGAGAAAATCCGCGAAACACGGCCACTCTACTTTGTGAAAAACGTAACAGGAGTGGATGTCTTGGTAGATGAGGTGATTTCTTTACTTGGAAAGGGCCAAGAGGTGGACGTGCGAGTGATAGGCATATGTGGAGTAGAAGGAATAGGGAAGACAGTGGCATCCAGAGTCATTTACGATAGCATTCGCAGCGATTTTGAGTGTTTTGTCTTTCTTGATAAAATTGGAGAAGCAGATCGCAACAATCTTGTAGGTCTGTTAGGTCTACAAAAGAAGCTGCCCCATAATCTCATAAAGGTGGAAGGATGGAGGATGTATGACGACATTCAGACCAACATAGACGAGATAAATAGTAACATGTGCCGTAAAAGGATACTGTTATAACATCATAACATGACACGTGTATTCACCAAACAAAATAAAAAAAGAAAACCTTCATTCTGCGGTATGTATTGTTTTTTTTTTTTTATCTAGCTTCCCCTTTGAACTAATTAGGGATAATGACACAAACAATCCCTGAACTTTAACTTAATGTGCAATTTGGTCCATGAACTTTTAATTTGTTCAATGTAGTCATTGAATTTTAGCCTAATGTTCAATATGATCCCTGAACTTTTGGTACATGTTCAATTTAATTCTTAAACTATATGAAAATGTACAACATAGTCCTTGAACTTGAATTAATGAAAGGACTATATTGAACATTTTTATAAAGTTCAAGAACTATATTGAACATGTACCAAAAGTTCAGGGACCACATGGAACAAATTGAAAGTTTAGAGACAATATTAAACATTGGGTTAAAGTTCAGGGACTATATTAAACAAATTAAAAGTTCATGGATCAAATTGCATATTGAGTCAAAGTTCAGGAACTGTTCGTGTCATTTTCCCCGAATGTAATAATGTATATGTTTTAATTCCAACAAAATTCCAATAATCATCATCTTGGATGACAGTGGCCATTAGGCTAGCATCTCCAAGAAAGAAAAAAAAAAGGGGAAAGAAAATATACACGGGAGCGACTAATAGTCAAGCAAGGTAGTTGGTGACAATCTTGCACAAAGAAAACAAAAAGCTAGGAGAAAACTAGTGCGAATCTATCATTAGTTTTAAAAATAACATCAATGTTCAGATTGATCTCAGTATCAAAGGGAAAATTACCAAAAAAGTCCTAAACTTTTTATAATTGTGCCAATTCAGTCCTAAACCTTTTTTTGTTGTCATTTCAGTCCTAAACCTTTTGCAATTGTGCCAATTCGTCCATCCGGTCACTTTTGGCCGGCCAGCGTTGACTTGGATGGCGGCCGGCTGACATGGCATTATTTTAATTTTTTTTTCCTTTCTCTTTTGTTTTTCTTTCCTTCTTTCCCCTGGCCGGACCGGCCAGGGGGAGGCGAGCTCGCCATCACCAGGCGAGGTCGAGCTCGCCCAGCGACAGCGAGGCCTCACCAGATCTGGGCGAGACCTCGCCGGCCATGGGCGAGGTCGAGCTCGCCGTCGCCGGGTGAGGTCAGCGACGGCGAGGTCACCTCGCCGGCGAGCCTCTTGAGAGTGATCCACCACGCAAGATTCGCCCTCATTGGGTTCTCCACAAACTATTCCGACTCCAAGTCCTGCCTGAATGAGCTGGTCGAGATCCTCGAGTGCAGAAGGCAGCTCAAGAACCACGGCCACGTGGCTGTTTCCATCTTTCATGGAGTGAGCACGGACAATGTTTCGAAGTTGACGAGCGGATGCGAGTTCGCACGAGGTTTCGAGAGGTTGTGTGAGAGAAAGAGAGACGATGCGCAGATAAAGATATGGTGGGATGCCCTAGCAGAGGCCACGCATCTTTCGGGCTTCCATTTGAAGAACCACGCCTGTGGGTACGTACCTGTGATTCTTACTCCATGTCGAAGCTCAGTATCGCCCGTCCATGTTTTGAAGTTATTTCTCTGGTTTGTCTGCTTTGTTGATGGAATTTGTGAAAAATCGACCATGTGCATCTCTCTTTCTCACTATGCTCTCCTCATCTCCCTCATCTCGGCCATGGTCTGCGTCGAGCTCGACTCAGATCTATTGAGTTCAACTCAGATCTGACTCAGGCAGAGATGGATGGGTTGGGGCTCAGCTCGGGCGGTGGTCGGTGCGGGTGGTGACAGCACGGTGGGTGTCGTGGGGAGGGCTGAGCATTGGGTGGGTAGATGGGTTAAGGTTTTGGCAAGTGAATTTTCATAGTTGGGTGAATTTGAAATGGTGAGAGAGGCAAAATTGAAAAATAAATGACAAATTTGTATATAGGACCAGATGTTTGATGCAATTGGAATGCTAATTGTAGGCCAGCAAAACTCAAGGTACATGTTAGAGTAATTAAATATCTTACATAATTTCGGAGTAGGAGGGTTAAGGTTTTGGCAAGTGAATTTTCATAGTTGGGTGAATTTGAAATGGTGAGAGGGGCAAAATTGAAAAAAAAAAATGACAAATTTGTATATAGGACCGGATGTTAGATGCCATTGGGAATGCTAATTGTAGGCCAGCAAAACTCAAGTTACATGCTAGAGTAATCAAATATTATGCATAGCAGATTATGCTTTTAGAAGTGGTTCCACAAAAATCTTACATAATTTCGGAGTAGGAGGTGTCGAATTCAAATCTTTTCGGGACCCTATTTGTTTTCATAATTACATATTTTCATACTTACCAGACTCCAGTTGAAACTTTTAAAAAAGTTGAACATATGCTTTATGATATTTTTCCCTTTAAAATATTAAAAGGTCAAAGCAAAGAGTCATATTGAATTTCCCCCGGTTTCTTGTATGCATAGTTGAGAATTGGGGAACCAAAATTAAAACTATAAAGGGAGACAAATGCAAACAAGATACTAGGTTTGAATAGGTTCACTTCCAAAAAAATGTATAATAGGTTCAACTATTTTTCTTCCACGAAAAGTTCCTTATAACGTTTCATACCTTTTTTGGGCCAAATTTTGGATTTTCAGACTTAAAATCATGATAACATAATAGAAACGGTGAAAAGTATTGACGAAGAATTCTTTTTACTGTTTTTATGGCCTTGAGTCAGAAATGTGTTACTTCTTCGTATGCATGGTACGGCGCAAGGCAACACGATCGAGAAAAGCCAAAAGATAAAGGGTTAATATCACGAAAAACCCTAAACTGGTATATCTGTGACAGATTTATCCAAAACTATTTTTTTGACCACAAAAAACCTAAAACTGGTACATCTATGACAATTTTATCCAAAACTATTTTTTTGACCACCAAAAACCCCAAACTGGTACACATGTGACAATTTTACCCCGAACTAATTTTTTAATATTATTTTTTCGAATTTTTTACAAGTCGAGCTCGAGCAACTATGGGCAACACAGCCTTGCTGGTTTACAGCCACCATGACCATGAACCCAGAGCTCAAGCTTGAGCGGCCATGGCAACTACAAGCTCGAGATCTAGCAACCATGGCCACGAGTTGAGCTCAAGCAACCATGAATGATGTAGCCTCGCCGGTTTGTGACCACCATGACCACGAATCCAGAGCTCGAGCTTGAGCGGCCATGGCAACTGTAAGCTCGAGATCTAGCGGCCAAGGGTGAGGGCATTGCAACTCTCGCGAACCACAAGTAAAAAGAAAAGAGAAAAAAGAAAAAGAAAAGAGGAAGGCAGCAGCAAGCTCGAGATCTGGTGGCAAGAGCTCGAGATCAAGTGGCCAAGGGCGAGGCCAAACTAAGGCATCACGACCCTCACGGTCCACAAGTATAAAAAAAGAGAAAAGAAAAGAAAAAGAAAAGAAAAGAAAAGAGGGAGGCAGCTGCAAGTTCGAGATCTAGCAACCATGGCCGTGAGTTGAGCTTAAGCAGCCATGGCAGCTCCAAGCTCAAGATTTGGAGGCCAAGGGCGAGGCAGCCTTGCCCGTGGCCGCGAAGCCAGGCGAGGGCGTTGCGAACCTCGCAAGCCACAAGTAAAAAAAGAAAAAAGAAAAGACGGAGGCATCTGCAAGCCCGAGATCTGGCGGCCATAGCTCGAGCTCGAGCAACCATGGCAACTGAAAGCTCAAGATCGAGAGGCCATGGACGAGGTTGTTGTGACCCTCGCCAACGGCCGGCGAGGGCTCCGCTGCCCTTGCGAGTGGCCTGGGAGGGTCGCCAAACCCTTGCCTCCCAAAAGTAAAAAAGAAAAAGATGGACAAGTGAAGAAAAGAAAAAAAAGGAAAGAAAAAATAATAAAAAATAATAAATTTTTCGAAAAAAATATTAAAATATTATTAAAAATTTTCAATAATTTTTTAATATTAAAACTGGTACACGTCATTAGCATATGACCCAAAGAGGCAATACCCATCATATTGATTAATGTGAACTCTCATATTAGAATTGGTGAAAAGAAGTCCGTGTAGATGGGACAATAGATGGAAAGGATGGAAAAAAGTACGAATTCAAGACATATAGGCTGCGTTTAGTTGTCTGGATTTTTAAACTGGATAGGACTGGATATGATAGGATAAGAAATCGTGGGATTTCTTCATATCCTATCCACTGTTTGGTGGACTACGGATTTAAAGTCGGATAGAATAAATTTTTTTTTTTTGCTATTCACGGGTCCGAAGGAGTCGGTGAAGGAAAAAAAGCCGAGAAATTTTTTTAGTAAAAGCGCACAAGGTGTGGGTATGAAGATGACGGCGAGTGGAGCGTAGGGTTTCTGGAAAAATAGGCATTAGAAATCTTATCAAGATCTATCCCACCCCCCTCGGATTTTTTTATCCGGGCTATATCCGGTCTATATCCGACCTTATCCTATCCTGGACCACCACCAAACACAGGATAGGATAAAACATATCATATCCTAGCTTTTATCCGGTCGACCAAACGCAGCCATAAGGTAAGTCATCATTTTCTTTTTCTTTCTAATTTTTCTGATCCACTGATTTAAAGCTGTGGAGAAATGAATTAGGCCGAAAAGAAAAAAAGAAAAATCATACGAAATGATACATCACAAAACCAAGAAAAGCGATCATCGCGTTTATCTTGATGCTCTATTTGGTTCACGAAAAATAACTTTTAAAAAAAAAGGTTTTTCAAATTTTTCGATATTTGGTGCGTGAAAAATAGGTCAGGTAATAATAAAAATTTCAGTGAATGGAAAAAAAGAAGAAGAAAAAAACCTGTTAAAAGAAGGAAAAAATGACTGAATCTTTTCAGAAAACAGAAATCATATTCTCGCTCTCTCTCTCGGTCAACGTAGCCCCCCCCCCCCCCCCCCCCCCCACTTCTAGTCCTCGTCCAGTCAACTCCCTCAGAAGCCCGACGCTTCACCTTCCTCCTTTTCCGCCTTCTCTTGCTCCTCATTTCAGTCATTTGCAGTGTCGAGCGCAATCGATTGAGCGAGGCTGAACGTGTTCATTCGATTGACGGGTGAACTTGTTCCCGGGTTAATCAACCAAAGCTGCGGCGGCGGTCGTCTTTCTCTTGGTAAGTCGGTTCCGTCGCTTAGGATTCCTTCAGTTTTCGGGGCGTTTGTTTCTCAAGAATTTGTGGTGTGGACTCGTCGATTGCTAGGGTTTGGCTTGGATGAGATTAGTCGGTTCGCATTAACGTGCTCAGGATATTGAATGAGGACCTCTTAATAAGCTGAAAGATGTAGAAGTAGCGATGCTTGGGAACATTCTGAACACTGAACAGTTGCTCCATAATTGGTAGCCAACTCCAAATTGGTGAAGTAAATGGGTTTCTATTTTTGAAAGCCAGTGTTTCGCCTGATTTTGTCAGTGATTTGATCTGGGGAATTTCGCAGTCCGGTTCGATTTCCACTTCTTCGAAGTGTTCGTGTCAAAATTCTTCAAGGTTCAACTCAGGTATGCAATTTCTTCTTTGAAATCTTCGACTGGGAGTTCTTCGACTGTTCTGAAATTTGCGAATCTTGTTGATTTAACTGTGATGATTTGTGTTTTTAAAAACTGATGTGCATCTCCGAAGTCTTCCACTGCTTGGGAGTTGTCCGAATATTATGAATTCTGTGAATGGAGGAAGATTTCTATAAAATGATTTCGGTGCAATTTTTTGAAACCTCGTTCAACATTAGAGTAGGTTCCCCCAACTGGATGGGGAACAAGAATGGCTAACAGACTTGATAAGCATCATTCCCCTTTTGGATGATAGCTAGGAAAAAATGCAAGAAAATTGTATTAAATTTAACTTCAGTTTTCCATCCCTGTGACTTTGCCTTTTGCGCGTGACCATTCGCGAGGAAATCACGTTTAAATACACAAATTCGTTTGGTGTCAATCTGCTTCGAGGTCAGACCATACAGGGGAAGACCACAAAAGAATGGAGATTCAACACTTCAGCCACCATCATCCCTTGATACTCAGATCAGTACATCCCCGCCAAATTTATGGAATTAAGTGCTCCGCATGCAGCCGATCCTGCTTGGACCTGATATATAGCTGCAGAGAATGTGAAGACTTCCATCTACATAAATCTTGTGCTGAATTGCCCCCAAAGATTACTCACCATCCGTTTCATCCTTTCCATCCTCTGCCTTTGGTGCTCAATTCACCAAGATACGCTTGCTGCGGCTGCGGCAAATGGGACAGCGGGCTTCTCTATTTGTGCAAGGACTGTAATTTCACCCTGAGTCCCGATTGTGCTGTCAAGCCTACCACAAGATATGAGTTTGTGGGACCGGGGAAAATTCAACATTTCTTGCACAAGCACCCCTTGGCTCTCGTGGAAGAGGATGATAATGTTCTATGCTTAGCATGTGAGAAATACTGCCCGAGTGAGAGCTATTCCTGCCATCACTGCCCGTCCTTCAAAATTCACAGAACATGTGCTGAGCAATTGCCACGGGCAATCCAACATTTCTCACATCCACTACATCCTCTCATCCTCCGAGCCAAGGATTCCCGCTTTGATCAACCATGTGTTGCGTGTTACAGATCGGACAACGTCTTGACCTACCGCTGTAGCATGTGCCGCATCGAGATGGATCCTAAATGTGCTCTCGTACCCACCCAGTATCTGCAACTTGGCAACTGAAACTTGGATACACCCTTTCAATTAAGCTTGACTTTACCTGATGGGAGTTAAACGGGATCGTGGATGCTTCCAGAATTGCTTACCTCCAGTTTCTACATTCCACAGTGCAGAATTCTCAATGATGCTTCCCCCCTAAAGTCTCATGGTTCGCATCCATCTGATTTTCATGTGCATTGTAATTTCCTTTCTCGTGCAGGGTAGATGTAATCCTTGCTTTTGCTAGGTAATTTGTTGTACTTTTAACAAACTTTCATCTGCTGTTCTCTGGAAACATTGAAAGTAATGGTCTGTAAACGGGGTAACCTCACGGTATTATCATTTCCTATCACTTTCTATTGGGCTGTAGTTCAAGTCTTAGAGCTATGATAGTGATCGCTAGCATGTACTTATGTGGGAATAACGAAGCAAGAACCTTGAGAGGCCGCTTACAGTCTTTTCCCTTGGTTCTTAAGTTGCAGGGTAGGCTTTGCAGTAAGCATTTCAGATCCTAACTGATGTACCATTGCTGACACCTAAAATTTTGACTAATTAGTAATTAATTGCTTAGAAAATTAGGGATTAATCTTTAATTCCTAAACAAAAAAATTAAAGTTAAAATTGCATAACAAATAATTGTTAGGAGCATTGTTCATAGGGGTGTGCAACCGGATCGGGTTTATCCAGCAACCAGACCGGACCACTCGAAAAATAGGTCCGAGAACCTGTTCCTGTTTGAACTGGTCCGGGAACAGGTTTCATTTTTTAGGAACCAATTGGAACTGGTATGGTTCTCGGTTCCAAGTGAAGATCCACCGGGACCGGTTTTTAGCTTGTGTTAAAAAAAATCGTAAATCATATTATTACTATATTTTGGATTGTTACTTTTGATGGATAGTAATTTTTATTGCTCATTTTAGAGATTGTTGCTTTTAGCGGATAGTGATTTTTATTATTCATATTTTACTTTGAATCGTTTCATTACTACTCATATTATTTTGCTGAAAAAAATGAAGCAAGAAAAAGGAACAAAAGAAAAACAGGTTCTCGGGTAAATCCTGAAATCGGATCGGAAAAACAGGGTAGGTTCCAAAATAGGTTCTAGGACAAACATGGTAGGTTTCAGGTTCCAAAAAATTGGGAACCGATTATAATAGGGTCGGTTCCAGGTCTGGAACCTACCAACCCTGGAACCGATAACCCGTAATTATTCATTCATTGCATTCAAATTGGATCGGCGATGGTGTAAAGTTTTGAACTTAAATTAAATTACATGGACTGAGCCCATGGAGTAGCAGAATTCGGCCCTACCCACTGCACTGGCTGAAATTCATAGAGAAAGGAGGGCCTTGTTAAGCTTAAGTTAATTGAAGTTTAACCCGTTAGAGTTTAATTGGAATTAGGCCTTAAGTTATTATAGCCGATGAGTTTAATAAGGCCTAAATTAAGCCTGTTTAGATCTACTATAAGTAGATATTAGGTCTTCACAATGAGGGGGGCCACACAATTGACATACACGGCCATAGAGAGAGAGAGAGAGAGAGAGAGAGAGAGAGAGAGAGAGAGTGCCACAATTGGGAGAGGAAAAATCGTGAAGACATTCACTGCCACAAGACACAATGGAGAGACGGCACACGTTGAGAGTTCTACTACGAGGTACAGAGAATGAAAGAGACTCTGGGGCGGTGGTCTCTGTCTTGAGTGGTCCTAGCCGAGAGAGACAAAGAAGGTATATGAGAGAGAAAGGTTTTTTTTTCCCTACAGGTCACTCAGGTCCCGCAGTTGCAGCCCCCACATCCGCGACTATCTACAAGCCTGCAATCGAGACACCACCTGCGCCAGCACACTCGCGATACCCGACGCCCCCAGCCGTTCTGTTCACCTCTGCTCCGCCTGCAGGCCGTCAACAGCCGCCACCAGCGCAGCATCAGTCCAGTGACCAGGCCAGTCACGCACCTCATCTCCCACGTCTGCTCCGAGCGCGCAACAGAACCACCAATTTCGCTGGCCCCGCAGCCCCGGAGGAACAGTCCAATCCCAATCACATCAGTACTTTGGCCAGTCCCTCGCCGCGTGCGTTCAGTCTCTAATATCTCCGGTGAGGCCCAGAACTCTGTGTTTTCCCCGCAGGTTTGATCATTGAGTACTTGTAGCAGTCAGAGAATTCTGTCACGTCCGATCTGTCAGAGAATTAGGTGATGGAAAGCTATTGAGAAAAGTATGTTGCTTTCTCGTATAAACATTGTATAATCACAGCCTTATTTATAATACATAGGGTCGAACTAATTGAGGAAAAAGATATACAGAATAAAGGAAAAATCAATTTCCTAATATACAATATTCTAGTTTTTCGTCAATGAACTCATCAGGATCGATTAGGATATGTATTGGGATCAATTAGAATCAGTTGGGGCAACAGTATCTTCAATGCTCCCGGCGGTCTATACACATCAGGATGCCTAGCTTGCTTAATAGATACTAACATAGGGGTTTAGTGAAGATGTCCGCAGGCTGCTCCGTCGTTGTCTTGATCACTCCATCTTAAATCTTGTTTCTAATGAAATGACAATTAATTTCTATATGTTTCGTCCTTTCATGAAAAATCGGATTTATTGCAAAGTGCAGCATCATTGTCATATAATAAAATGGTTGGTTCCTTTACCCATACATCGAGATACAGATGGTGTTTGCCATTGCCCGATATTCTGCTTTAGCTGATGATAATGAAACAGTCAACTGTTTCTTTATTTCCCAAGCGAGTAACGAGTTCACCCAATTTGATGCAGAATCCTGTGACAAATTTTCTACTCATAGGGCAAGTAGAATAATCTATATCATTATACGCTGTCATCTCCATGTTGTTTTCCCAAGACATTAGTATTCCCAAACCCGGACATCCCTTAAAAGTACTTCATGACTTTCAGTACAACATTCATGTGGGACTGCTTCGAATTATGCATGAATTGGTTGAGAATCTGCACGGCATAACATATGTCGGGTCTAGTCATGGTTAGATATATGAGTTTCCCGACAAGTCTCTAATAAGAAGAAGGGTCTCTGAGCAAAAGATCCTCATTCATGGGTGATAATCCCTTATCATACTCAGCAGTCGTTAACTTGACATTATGTTTAATTGGGATAACAGCTGGTTTGGATCCCAATAGTCCTGCTTTTAATATGATTTCTAGGACAAATTTGCGTTGACTGAGACAAATACCCTTATCTGATCGTGCAATTTCTATCCGAAGGAAGAATTTGGGAGGTCCCAAATATTAATGTGAAAGGTAGAGTGTAGATACCTTTTAAACTTCTCGATGGCATTTTCATCATACCCCTTAATAAGTATATCATCAACATATATAAGCAAGTAAACTGATGATGTACCTTGACTCCGTGTGACTAAGGCATAGTTGTGTCTGGATTGCCGGAATTTAGCAGCTATAAGTGCAATGTTGAATTTGGCATAACATTGACGAGAAGCCTGTTTGAGTCTGTATAGGGATTTACGGAGACGACATACTCGATTCTCTCCTTGTCTACGTAAACCTGGTGGAAGATCCATGTAGATTTCCTTTTCTAGATCTCCATGAAGAAAAGCATTATGAACATCCATATGATGAAGAGGCCAATCATGAAGAGCGGCAATGGAAAGGAAAGAACGAACGGTGACTTCACTCACTACTGGAGAGAACGTTTCAGTATAATCAAAACCTTCTCACTATGTGAACCCCTTAGCCACTAGTCTTGCCTTATAGCACTGAATGGAACTAACCGCCTTGTATTTGATCTTATATAACCACTTGTAGCCAATAGATTTCCAATGAGTGGGTATTAGAACGATATCCCAAGTCTTATTTTCTATTAGGGCTCGTAATTCATCCGCCATTGCTTGTTGCAACGAGGTTCTTTGGCAGCTTCATCATATGAAGATGGTTCATGTCTCTCAAATATTATACTAACGCAGCACACATGTTCAGGTAAAAGTCGAGCAAAGCTAACATATGATGAGACGGGATAGTGTGTACTAGATGACTCCAGGGTAGAATAAATATAATCTGTTGTCCAAGTGGGCAGTTGTGTAGTACGATTGGAACATCGAGGAGGAGCTCGTACGGCAGATGGAGTAGTCCCTTGTAGTTTGGAAAATATATCATCTGAAGGGGTAGGTGATTGAGGAGTTATAAGGAACTTTGATGTGACTTCCTGTGGAACACTGGGGGCCACATTATGTGTACCTAATGGTGAGGCTGCATCATACTCAGGGTTCGAAAATACCATGGGAGATGACATATGAGGAATCACCATAGGTTATGGAGGCAAAAGATCTTCTTCGATCAAAAACGGGCGGTGATTAGTAGTGTGTTAATCTGTTGATTAGAAGATAACTCGTCCTAGAAAGGGAAAACATCTTCATGGAAGATAACATCTCTACTAACAAAGAAACACCTGGTGGATGGATCTTAAACCAAATATTCCTGCTGAAGACTAGGGTATCCCATAAATACCCATTTATGGGCATAAGGACCCAATTTGTCTCGACGGCCACGGTAGACACATAACATAAACAGCTAAAGACACGAAGGTGGCGAATGTTTGGACATGTCCCAAAAAGCAATTGAAAGGGGTTCTTCCATTGAGAACTTGAGACGACATCCGATTGATTAAGTATGTTGTCATGACTACACAGTCTTCCCGGAACATTTCAAGGAATAGAAGCTTGGTATTTAAGGGCACATGCAACTTCTAGGAGGTGACGATATTTTCTTTCAACTACACCGTTTTGTCGAGAGGTATATGTGCAGGAACTCTCTTGAAGGATGCCATTTGAAGTGAAGAATATTCGTGATTGAAAAATTCTCGGGCATTATCAGTGCGAATCCATTGTACGGATTTATGAAACTAATTTTAATAAAGACGAAAAAGTTTCTAAGATGCGAAAGGACTTGGGCGTTGGATTGCATTAGAAATACCCAAGTTGCTCGTGTATGGTTATCCACAATTGTGAGGAAAAAACGAGATCTATTACGGTGTGGAGTATGGTTGATCCCTAGATGTCCATATGTAGAAGAGAAAAGGCTGTATTGACATGTGAATGGCTTTGTGGAAAAGATAATCGCGATTGTTTAGCCAAATGACAAATAGGACAGTTTGGGTGAGGAAAGGAGGCAATGTGGCCTAAACTCTGATGGGATAAAAAATATTTTCATTAATGCTAGCATTACATAAGGTGCCCTTATTTAAGGGAAAATACGAAATATCAAAATTTTTGAGAAGAGTGGCACAAAAATAGTCTCTCGTGATTGTTACCCAAGCCCATAAGTTTCCCAGTCAAAAGGGCCTGAAAGAAGCAGA